GGCAGTGTTTAAACTTTAAACTGTCAGCCACGGACGCGGAGTTTCTGAAGATGGACAATAGACATTTTTTTAATAAAAAAGACGGCAATTCCCAAGTGGTGGTTCACACAACAACCCCAGAGCCACCACCTGAGCCAGGTGAACAAGGTATGTAAATGTCAGTAAACTTACAAGTTATGCGAACATGTAAGCAAAGCATAAATTATAGCTACGTTGACGTTACTTTGAATCGCGCGGGTAAGCTAAACCGTTAGCAAGTAGCTATAGCTAGCCAGATATATTAAATAAACACTTTGTCATACAATCTAAATGTTGTGTTTTTTAGCGTTACCTGGTGATTTCAAAGAAAGCTCTCTGGGAAATGTTGACTTACTCCTGTCAGTGTTCGACATGAAGCTAGAAGCCACAGTACACAGTTGATCCTGAGTCCTGTCAGTTAAAGTGTTTCATAGTTAGCTTAGCTAAGCATCAACCTAGCACTGAAATATATGGATGTTATGTGACAGTATTTCTGAGAAAAAGTCAGCTGAAATGGTGGCATAGTTGCCACTGCTTTCCGTGTTTGTTCCAGGCTGCATGCCTGCCATTTTGTTTACCCTGCTATTTAAAATAAACCCCTTTTTATAATTCTACCAATTCCAACTGGTGTGTGTTGTTTTCCTCTACCCCTAGAGGGGGACATAACAAGGAGAAAGGGACACACAAGAAGGAGATACAACAGACAAGAACGACAATGGAGACAACAATGAACAGGAGGAACACCAGAACAGACAAGAGTCAATGGGCAACATGACTGATTTAGGGACTGCAGATACAGGGCCAAGGCAAGTGAGACATCACTGCTTTCCATCCAGCATGTTTGGCCAGCAAAAGAGATCATTTCAACCGCAAACAGCAAGAGATGAGGGAAGCAGCAAGAGATGAGGGAAACAGCAAGTGATGAAGGAGGGATTATTATTTCCTCCTTCCATCCCTTTTTTCTGTTTAATCTGATTACTAACAACTTCTAATAATTTGACATAGTTTATGATTTAATTGGAAAATGAAGTATTTTTAAATAATAAACCCATGTCTGATTCTGATTCTTTGATTTGTTTTGACATATGGGTGTCGAGAGATGTATCCATATCTCTTAATGTTGCTCTCAAAGTGCACAAGATTGATGCTTTTAACTTCAATATTTAAAAAAATCTTCCTGGGAGACCCCAGAGGAGGTGAGTTCCCCCCAGAATAGCACTTTATCTCTGCTTATGTAACTCCGGTGTAGTGTCCCCTCGGCAACAGATCACTCAGAGCTGGTGATTACTTTCCTGCATTTCAATGGACAGCATATAAAAAGGACACGTGAGCTGCATTGCTTAAAGGAACTATCATGCTATATTTAAATATATATATATATATATATATATATATATATACACACATATATATATACCACGCCCCCCTGCAGGAGAGGGGAGTGTGCTCTGATCAAGTCAGAAGAGGGGGGGAAAAATAGATCTCCGTCGTCCGTGTTTATTATATTATTATAAAGAGTCGTTATTCATTTGTTTTAAAGCTCAATAAATAACAAAGAAGACCTTTGACCGGCACTTTTCAAATTTTGTCCGGAAGATTTCAACTTTAACGGACATCTTGACCGGCGAAAGAAAACCTAACTGAAACTCTGCCGCATGGACGGTCCCCTCGTTCCTTGGAAGAGGCGGAGAGGTGGGTGTTTGTCATCTGCTGGTGGACTAACCGGACAGAATTACAGTGCTTGCCTTGACGGGGAGGGATTGCATTGAATTACAGCAGCGGGAGCAAACGCTTGCCTCGGGGAGGGAGAAAAAGAGCCACAGCGGAGAATAAACAGAAGGGCAACCATGCGCGGGAAGTCTTCTTCGCTGCTTTTGTGGCAGACTACAGCGCCACTTACAGGCCTGGCATATGTACTACAGCATCTCCAGCGCATTCGAGCGGCAATGGCCGGCCGTGGCCCAACCCCACATTCCCCTGATAGGTGGAGAGTTGGCCCAATAGCCGTAGCGCCACCGTCCTGACGTCAGGACAGTGTTAAAATCTGGATCAGTTTTTATCAGATCTGTTGCAGCCCCTTTTTTTAGGGATTTGGGTATGGATGAAAATAGAGAGGGTTGTGTTTTCTGACACTTAGTGAGTTCCCTGGAACACAGAGGACACATATTCATGTATAAAAGACGTACAAAAGTGCATTTTGCATGATAGGTCCCCTTTAAGAGATCCTCACATGCCATCTCTTTTACAAAATAAGTGTCCAGTCAACAACAAAACATCAGTGATTAGTGGTAGTATATTTTTCACAAGCAATGTGAAACATTAAACTTATACAAACTAGTGTACAAAACTCACACACCTGCGTTGATCTTCTGGAGTACTCTTTCTTCTCCACATCTCTTGTCCACCATCAGAGATTGCAAACATTTCAGAAACAGCTAGAGGTAGGGGACAAACAACTTGTTCGCTGGGCATGTCAAAAATCTCCCTGCTTTGATCAAGACTTTAGGGAGCCTTTCAGCCGCTCTAGCAAAGGGACTGGAAAGCAAGCTTTGAAAATTCAGTACCATCTACATGCTTGTCATGTTCCAGACACTGCTCTCAACCACTCAGGGCCTGCACAAATATCTGCAGAAAGAAACAATTGACTTGGTGCAGGCAGTGGATTACAAAACAGCAGTTGAGAACACACTGAAAAGTTACCGAAGTAACGAGAAAGCACATGAGGTCTATAACAAGACCAAGGACCTGTGCAATGATCTTGATATTCCCGAAACTGTGACACCCCTTTCACACCAACGCGTTTTCAGCTCCGGCTCGGAGCTGGAGCCTGAAAAGTGCCGGTTTTTCCTGTTCACACCGCAGCGGCGCCGCCTCTTAGCTCCGGAATCCGGTTCACTTCCAGCTCCAAAGAATTGTCGGTCTAGAGGCACGAGCTTCGGAGCTAAGAGGTGACGTCGCTTACGTCTCTCTTACGTCGAGGCTTGCAGGAAACTAAACCCACCTCCTCTGAACATGTGTCGACTGTCATGCCTGCCTACAAGCAGTAGTGCTTATAAACACACTTTATAAAGTCAGGCAACACTAACCAGGCTTCGTGTGATTCTGTTTATTTGTACCTTACTTTGACCATCCGTTCACTGTTATTGATAATTGTGGAGAGAGGCAGACGTTTTGTTTTGTATTATAGCAGCTATCGGATGGAATCAATACATGGGCTGCACAGGTTGCCGTGTCCGACTATCACAAGTAGAATCATAATAAAAATACGCCGGTAAAATGTGCCTGTAGAAAACGGTTTATGCCACAATAGGATAGCAATAGCAAGTAGTCAGTTTAGCTTCGGTTGCTATGCTAACATCACCCATTTTATACCAGAGAAACTTTCATAACAGCGTTGTGATGCCAAACAGCATCAATTCAGACTGACAAACATTCACTTAAGGGGAACTGGGGATATGTATCAGCTGCTTGTGTGAGTCGGACAGTGAATAATTTAGAGCGGCCGCTGCAGTGTGAGCTAACCGGGAGCTAACGAGAGAATAAACTCCTGTGGAAGAGCAGCCAACACTGCAGCGGTCGGTATGCCGCAGAAACACATTAATAAACAATGAACCACGGCACTCTGGAGCAAAGTATAAGGTTGGAGAAGTCGTTATTTAATTTAATCTGGCTTCGTGTGATTAAAAGCAACACGATCATCGACCCGAGGCAGTTCCCCGTTGTTGTGAGCGCCGTAACGCCATTGGGGAGCAAATCAGCGATGTAAACGGTGACGTCATGACGCAGCAGCGGCAGCACCAGTCAGGCTCTGGGCGGTGTGAACAGAGCGGGAGCAGAAAAGGGAAACCGGAGCTGAACCAGAAAAGCTCTAGCTCGGAGCTATAAAGGGATAAGCGCTGGTGTGAAAGCCGCAACAGAGGAAGAAGCGTAGAAACATGGAAGACTTTGAAGTCGAGGCATCATGTGGAGCAATGTGAAACATTAAACATAAATAAACTGGTGTACAAAACTCACATACCTGCATTTCAATGGACAGCATAAAAGGACACGTGAGCTGGGTTCTGTTGGAGAAATAGCACCATTCTGCTCACATTAGCTTATTAGCTCAGATTAGCTATTCTTTTACACACACATACGGGTATTGGGTCGACGGCGACACCGTACTTCCGGTATCCACCGTTTTACGCGAGGTGCAAGCAGGCCAAGGGTTTAGCTGTACACCGTTTAGGTGTTGCTAAGCTTCCTGTACTGAATATCATAGTCTATTGCCTTAATCAATATCTAGTCAACTCTAAAATACCACATATATGCAATGGCATGAGAATATTATTGTGACAAGTGGGGTATTCACCTGGTGTTTCCAGAAATTAGACGTAGATGCAGTCAAAATCGACGCAGTCTGTAAGGGCAATCCGACAACCCACACAGCTCTAGTTTACGCTGGTAACGACCTAGAGCACACCCCTCAAGTCCAGAGATGTAATCCGAAGACATGCAGCGATTTCTTCGGTCATTAATTCAGAAAAAAAACCTAGTGCGCTCTGCCTGGCTACGTTAGCTAGCTGTTTATATTTGCACTTCCAGGATATTTGCACCTCCATGAAAATGGCGTATTTATATATATATATGGGGCGTGTTGCATTGTGGGTAGCTTGTGACGTCACTGTGTGTGAAATAATTGATGATCACGTTGATAAATCATATAAAACAAATAGCCAATCACACAAAAAACATGCTGCTGACTGTGAGCATCAAACAAACACAACAGTACGTTATTGTCCTTATAAAATAAAAACATACATTTTGTCCACCGACATAATACAGGCACCTTACCCTCAAGAGATCCTCACGTGATATGATAATCTCCCACAATCCATGTAGTACCCCAGAATGCAGTGCGCAATACCTCAACATGGGCGGGAGCTCAACATGGGCGGAGCCTCCATTAATCTGACTGTCAGAGAGCGGGAGATGGGAGGCGGGGCTTAAGGGAAAACTCTACTGCGCATGCTCTGTGGGCCCACATCCGGGTACTTCTGCTCTCGACCATGCTCTCAGGCAGGATCCAGTTGTTGTAAAGCTTCCATCGGTCGGAGTCTTTATCAGCTCTCATTAATATATAACTGTGATATATTAGAATATAACCCGTTCCTCTCAGGAGAAGAAGAGACGAGAGGAGCTTCAGAACAATTCCACCTCTTCATCCGGGTCCTTATCTGATGTTAGCTGCTTCATGCTAGGTGGCTAATGCTAGTCGGTGAACATCAACAAACTGACGAACAAAGAGTAGCAGAAACACCGGGTAATACTGTGTACTTTTACTATAATACTGTGTACTTTTACTACTGAGATTACTGAGTACTTTTACTATAACACTGAGTTGTTTTACTACTGATGATACTTAGTACTTTTTTATAATTTGGAGCTGTTCATCGATCATTCCTCACAGCAGGCTAACCAAGATGGCAGCACAGACAGCAGTAGCTAGCTCTCCCGAGTCTTTAGTGTTTTTAACGTGTGTTCGTCTAGTTCACTGCTAACATCCTGAACCGATAGTACAGCCAGGAGTATACAGTACAGTCGTGAGTTCCTGCTGGACAAGGAAATAACATCAAAACAAACGGAGGAAGCACAAGAGGGGTAAGCGCGGAGGCATCCGAGCTAGACTAGCAGCTAGCCCACACAGGCCCGCTATTCCGAGCATCATAGCAAATGTTCGTTCACTCATAGAGTGGCGAAGTCACGCCCATCTACTTCCGCCCCATGGGACCTTATTTCTGAAAAATCATGTGTTGCAGTCAATGGGGAGAGAAAGATTATCTTTCGATCCCGTTTGAATGATGCCACGAATTACACATATGATGTTTGTCAATCTTAAAAAATCATTTCCATGTCAAAAAAGTCACAGTTTGTCTTAAAACTGTTGAAATATAAGACTATGAAAAATATGCAACTAGAAAGACTACAAATCCCAGAGTCGCGTAGGTGAATTTAGCTAGCTGACATTAACGTTACACATTACACTCCTGTTATTCACCAACACCTTGTAAAGCCAGTCCCGCATGCTGGAACCGACTAACTCCCCGTTTGTGTATGTACAGTTCTCAACATGGCCAGACTTGTTGTGATTTTCACCTATTTGAATACTTTTCGCTTCATTCTGAAAGAAAGAGGTGAAATGTGCTAACGGGACGGCCATCTTGGTGTTGGTGACGTATGACCAGAGTTGTAGTTCATTGAGCGCTTCACACAAAAAAATGTGTTACTTCACAGTTTTACGGCACATTTCAATTTTTACAAAATTAACTTTTAAATTGACAAACATCATATGTGTAATTCGTTGCACAATTTAAACAGGATCAAAAGATAATGTTTCTCTCTCCATTGACTTAAATGCATACTTTTTCCAAAATAAGGTCCCCCGGAAGGGGAGGGACTTCGCCACTCTATAACATGGACATCATAAGACTACTCCGGTCGACCCAGAGTGGTGGGTACGTTTTCACGGAATCATGGCTAAATGACAACATCCCAGAATCTCCCATTCAGCTAGACCGGCTAAGATGCTACCGCTCAGACAGAACTACGGTTAGCGGGGGGAACAGCCGCGGCGTCTGTGTAATTGTTTACATCAGTGATGCTTGGTGTAGGGACGCTGTGGTTTTCTACAAACATTGTTCGCCGCTGGCGGAGTTTATGTTCGTGAGGTGCAGGCCTTTCCATCTTACCCTAACCTAGCAGGATGGAGTTAATTTCTTCCCACCTCTACTGTTAAGCTTCTTCTTAGCTGTAGATTGGTTTTGTGTTGACTGTAGTGTTCATACTTATTTCAGAGACCCAGAAGGAGCACTGGAGCAGCATGGAGGAGAACAAAGAGACCCCCAGAACTCAGGTCAGTGTTCACTTCATCACAATATATTCCTAACACTGTTATCCCTTACACTGGGGGACATTTGTGTTATTTAAGGACTTTAAACCTGTACTTTTGTTTAAGGATAAACAACCTTGAACATTGTGGTTTTTATTTTACAGACTCTTACATTTAGATATGGGTTCAGGTGTACATCAGTATGTAGTGTCTCTACTTTAAAGATTCTTCTCCTGCTGATGTTCAGGTGTATATCATTATGTAGTGTCTCTACTTTAAAGAGTCCTCTCCTGCTGATGTTCAGGTGTATATCAGTATGTAGTGTTTCTACTTTAAAGAGTCCTCTCCTGCTGATGTTCAGGTGTATATCAGTATGTAGTGTCTCTACTTTAAAGAGTCCTCTCCTGCTGATGTTCAGGTGTATATCAGTATGTAGTGTCTCTACTTTAAAGAGTCCTCTCCTGCTGATGTTCAGGTGTATATCAGTATGTAGTGTCTCTACTTTAAAGAGTCCTCTCCTGCTGATGTTCAGGTGTATATCAGTGTGTAGTGTCTCTACTTTAAAGAGTCCTCTCCTGCTGATGTTCAGGTGTATATCAGTATGTAGTGTCTCTACTTTAAAGAGTCCTCTCCGGCTGATGTTCAGGTGTATATCAGTGTGTAGTGTCTCTACTTTAAAGAGTCTTCTCCTGCTGATGTTCATGTGTATATCAGTATGTGGTGTCTCTACTTTAAAGAGTCCTCTCCTGCTGATGTTCAGGTGTATATCAGTATGTGGTGTCTCTACTTTAAAGAGTCCTCTCCTGCTGATGTTCATGTGTATATCAGTATGTAGTGTCTCTACTTTAAAGAGTATTCTCCTGCTGATGTTCATGTGTATATCAGTATGTAGTGTCTCTACTTTAAAGAGTCCTCTCCTGCTGATGTTCAGGTGTATATCAGTATGTGGTGTCTCTACTTTAAAGAGTCCTCTCCTGCTGATGTTCATGTGTATATCAGTATGTAGTGTCTCTACTTTAAAGAGTATTCTCCTGCTGATGTTCATGTGTATATCAGTATGTGGTGTCTCTACTTTAAATAGTCCTCTCCTGCTTTGGTTCAGGTGTGTATCAGTATGTCAGGGGTCTGGGACCCGGAGTAATCTGCGGCCGCGAGCTGTTATGTGCCATCATGAAGCGCATGGTGTTATTTTTATATATATTTTATAACGAAGAGCAAGTTGTGTGCTCGAGTCTTCCTGTCTGTCGGCTGAACTCTGCTGCTCTGCGATGAGGGTCTAGCTTCAGCAGCTACATTACCTACGGGTGCGTTCGTTAATAGTAACTCTGCGGTCCGGTGTCACTGTGGCACAGACTGGACCGCTGGTGAACAGCTGTTAGAACGGGCCGTTCAGGTGTACAGAGCAGAGCTCCCTTTCGGAGCGGCAGAGCGTGATGTGCACTGAAACGTTTTTCTGTCGCAATATTATTTAAGGAATCGTTGAACTAGCTAACTATTATACATAGTCACTATCTGCTAATGTTAGTTTTAGCCTTTGTTTTCTAATAGTTTTTTTCATAGGCTATAAACAGAGGTCGTACAAGTATAGATATTGTACTCGAGTAAAAGTAGAAGTACTCAGATCTTGTACTAGAATAAAAGTAGAAGTACCAGAGTGTAGGAACAATCCTGCAATCAAATGTTCCTCAAGTAAAAGTAGATAAAGTATTATCAAAATATAGTTAAAGTAGCGACAGTAAAAGTAGTCATTGTGCAGATTGGTCCATTTCAGAATAATATATATGATATGTTTTATAATGATTGATCATGAAAGTGTTCTCAAAGCTGATAAAGGTGCAGCTAGTTTTAATGACTTTGTATACTGCAGGGTAGCTTGTGAATTTACTCCAGAGGTCTGTACTACGAAGCCGGATTTTCGTTTAGCGAGCTAACTTCAGGGAAAACTCTGGGTTTCCGGTCCTACGACGCTGGTTCTCTTCTTAGCGGGCTAGATCTCCATGGTAACTGATGCTGAACGGCGAGCCTGCTCCGGAGCAGGTTAGGTTCCAGGATAAGAGATCAACTCAGAGCTCAGTGTGCGGAGTTTAAAGCGATCAAGTCATATTACAGGAGAAAGGAAATACAGTTTAGAGCGCGTTTGTTTTGGATTAGGTAAACCGGGTAACTCAAACATATCCAGGTTAGGTTGAACTGGCTTCGTAGTACATGCCACAGGTGGAACTAAAGTCAGATTTAACCTGTTAAGCCCCGAGCGTGTTTTCCAGGTCTCAGGCTCGAAAATGACATTCCCAGAACATATGACCATATCTTCCCTTCTAAAAAGGCTAAATTAATAATCTTTTTCCTCAAAGTAATGATAAACCTGTGAATTGGATGTAGAAATAGATGTTTTTATTGTAAAGAAATTTCAGATTGAACATAGTAAAGAAATGTAAATTAGAGTCCGTCCAAAAAATAAACATTTCTTATAGTGAAAACCACCCTTGAATGATGGGATAGTATACTAAAAGCTGTAGGAATCCAAACTATAACATGTAATAAGTACCCTGCAGTGTTTCCCCTAGGTTTACTGCCTTGGCAGGGTGCTGCTCGGGTACCCCCCCAACTTCGTACAGTAACAAAGTATTTGTACATTAAAAAGTAATAAAGTACAGTGTTGCACTGTACTGTTTACTATTACTTTTATTCAAACTGTATTCCCTTCTTATCATGTAGCCTACAATTCTTCCTTTCATTGATACATTTAAATCACCTGACTACAGCATATAACATACCCGCTGCAACCCGGTGCTGCTGCTGCTTCTCTCTGCCTCACCCTCTATTGCTGGAGGCAGCTCTGATCTGATATGAAAGCAATCGTGTTATGATCATATTGAGCTATTGGTGTGAGTCTAACATTAAACAAGCAGTCTGCTTGTCATACATTGCTGACGATACATTTTAAGAGGCAATTTGTTGAGTCACTGCTGCTAAATGCCGGTAACATCAAGCAAGCCAATCCTGCATTAGCCTCACATCAACAGGTGTAGACAGAACATCCAATTATCCTGAGCTAATTTACTGAATAAACCAACTCACATCTCCGGTCTTTTTTTTCACCCAACTCATTAGAATATTCTTCTGCTGGCGTTTCATTGTTGTTTTCTGTCAAATTCAATACTGTAGTTCAAAACCGCGGTGCCTGCTCACCATCTGTGAGCTATTTTTAGAATGCGCACGCTACGTTCGTTGTCGCATTTGCGCGCGTCCACCTGGGCAGGCTGTGTGTGTCCTTCTCCTCCGTGACGATAACGGCTTGCGGTTAATAAATAATAATAAACCAATTTTAAACTGGGGGGGGGGACATAAACGGGCAGAGCTCGGGGCAATAATGCAGATTTGTTTGACTTTTTTACACTTTGTTGTTCTTCTCCTTTCCTCCGCTCTTGTTTCTGATTGTGGGCATGTGCATTTGAGTGTGTGTGTGTGTGTATGACGGTACGTCCACACAGCAGCTTTTCAAAAATCTTGAAAATCTTGGAGCTGGGCGTGTCTGAAAGCTTGGGGATTTCGCGACCAACAACCAATCACATGAATCTCCCGCCCCCGACATACAAAGCAAAAAACCCCGGTTCTTCTCCACTATTTCTTTTAACATTTTTAACATTTATGAGATTAATGTTTATGGTGCTATTGTATGCTACATTCCATGCTGGCTAATGATACTGTCTATGCTTGCTAGCAACGAAGTAAACTAGCAACGAAGTAAACTGGATATAAAATTCCCAAACAAGCGAAAACCTACCAGTTTCACCCACTGCCTCTGCCACCTCCCTCCATGCCTGGTTCCTCCGGTTTGTATCCCGGTAAGTAAATAGGGACTGGTCATAAAGAACCGGGTGATTTGCTACCGCAAAAACTAAGTTCTCCTCCATTTTTGTGGAATATAGAATGAACAGTCTGGCTCTCCCAGCTTGCACGCGGTTTGATTGGCTAGCGCTTGAACTGTCAGATTTGCATAAACGGATCTGATTGGCTGTCGCTTCCAGCTCAGCCTCAAAAGTTGAACATTGCTCAACTTTGAAATCCTGAAAATCCTGGAAATCCTGGAAATCTTCGCCTCGCCCCCCCACAATGCAGTTCGGCGACAAGCGAGGGAAAGTGACGTCATCCCCATTCAAAGTCAATGGGCGGAGACGCGCTGGAAGCGGTGGACAAATCGCCAAAAGCTGCTGTGTGTACGGGCCGTCAGTGTGGGGGGGGGGGGGAGCCGAGCCGAGCCCCGCCCTTCAGAAACAGAGCGGAGGGAGAATGTGAATACGCAAAGCAGTGGAGACTGAAATATGCACATACATTGGATAAATAACATAGGCGTTTAGTTTATTTAATTAAAAAGCACATGTTCAATGTGAAAAGTGACCATAGATAGATTACTTCAGTTGCAATTTGGTGCTATATATATATTTTTTTAAATAAAAAAACACCTTGAATTTCAGGCAGGGCTTGGGACTCCGTTGGCAGGGCGCAGCGCCCCGCCAAGACAATGGTAGGGGAAACACTGACCCTGTATCAAGGTTGATGCAAAACAAGTGACATTTGAGCTTTTTAGAGAGATTTTGCAAAAAAAATAAACACTTCTGGGGTAATTTGGGTAGATTTGACCTATCTTTGGCCCCCCTTGGTCGATTTTGGTGATTGACATCTCTTTTTAACCGCTAGAGCCAATAGAATTGAGAGGAAGTCCCACATACACACACACGTTACCAAATAAGGAGTGAGAGTGATGTGTAGCGAAAACAGGAAGCTATCATACACTCTTATCATTAGTAGCTATTAGCTAACATGAAAACTCAGTTGTTGACATAAAAATGGAATTATGGATTATCAATAATTTTTTCTAAGTGACAGACAAATTGGATTAACCTATGGATTAACCTTCAGCTGTGTTTTTCTCATTTTAATGCCCTTGAACACAACTTTTGATCAGAATAACAGCAAAAGGTGAGCATATCTCCGTGTTTTGCTGCCTAAAGCTACGTTGTGTGTTGTCTGTATTTGCTTCCCCTGTAGCGAGTTCTGATCACTCAGTGATGATACTTTATATTTCTGGAATCTCAACTTGTTAGCTAAGCTTGTTTGTGCAGATCCGATAAGTATATTGATCGGTATAGCTAGAGTTCGGTGCTAAGTGCGTCAGCATTTTTTCGCTCAGGGCTCATTCTTGTGAGACTTGTGTTTTTTGTTTCGGTAAAAATGTATCATATCGTCAGTTAGCTGAGTTTCTTCCCGTTAGGAGGGTATGACACATTCATAGTTTATTAAATGTTAAGAAGCCCTGAGACACAGTTTCGTGGGAAAAAAGCCTGTAGCCCCTGACGGCGGGGGCTTAACAGGTTACAGAGTCCTCTCCTGCTGATGTTCAGGTGTATATCAGTATGTTGTGTCTCTACTGGGACATGTCTCCATGCTTTAATGTTCAAAAAGCTCTTTATTGTTCTCATACTGCCTGTGCTGCATCTTTTCACCCTCTGTTTGAAACCAGAGCCGTAGTCAAAATTCAGATAATTTTTGGGGGAAAAAGTCAAAATTGTAAGGAAAAAGGCAGAATTCAGATTTCCAAAACAATTCTGAGGAAATAAAAAAGAAAACCAAATTCTAATGACAAGGTCAAAAGTAGGAGAACAATTGTCAAAATTCTGATTTTTTTTTTTAAGTCAAAATTATAATTCAGAAAATATCTGGTTTGGAAAAATCTCAATATTGAAAAACTGTGTAATTCTGAAATATGTAAATATAAAAAAATGGTTAATAATCATATTCAGAAAAAGTCAGAATTATGTGAAAGTCAGAAAAAACTACAGTTATGGGGAAAAACTAAGAATTATGAAAAATAAATGTATTATGAATAATATATATATGTTTTATAATTATTGATCATTAAAGTGTTATCAAATCTGGTAAAGGTGCAGATAGTTTTAATGACTTTGTATACTGCAGGGTGGCAGTATACAAAGGGTGAATTTACTCCAGGTGGAACTAAAGTCTGATTTAAGACTTGATTAGATTTCACACCATTAAAACCATTCTAAAAGGGGTAAATTAATAATCTTTTTCTCTCAAAGCAATGATAAACCTGTGAGTTGGATGTATAAAAGTCTGAATCAATATAGAATTTTTTTATTGTAAAGTAAATTCAGATTGAACATAGTAAAAAAAAAAGTAAATTAATAGTGTCCGTCCAAGGAAAAAAAACATTACTTATAATGAGAACCACCCTTGGATGATGGGTTAGTAGACTAAAAGCTTTAGGAATCCAAAGTACAATATATAAGTACCCTGTATCAAGATTGATGCAAAACAAGTGACATTTGACCTTTTTTAGAGAGGTTTAGAACAAAAAACTCCACCTCTGGGGTCATTTGGGTGGAAATGGACATTTTTGCCGTTTCTCTGGAACCCATGGGTCGATTTTGATGATTGACATCTCTTTTGAACCGTTAGAGCCAATAGAATCGAAGAGGAATTTCCACATACACACCAACGTTACCATTGAGAAGTTTGCCCAGAGCGAAAGCTATCTTACGCTCTGAAATCTGAAAACTAGTTTTATTGCTGATGGATTATCAGAAATCATTTCAAAGTGACACAGACACATTGGATTAACCTTATTGTTTTAATGCCATTGAAGACAACTTTTGATCACACAACGACAAAGGTAAGACATATTGCCGTTTTGGCTACCGAATGCCACGTGTTGTGATGTCTGTTTTTGTTTATAATGTTGCGAGTTCTGATCATGGAGTGATGCTATAGATACCTATCGATTATGTGTACTCTCACGATGCTAATCGATATGTTGGATGTGCAGTTACGATAAGTAATAAGGGTGTTATACCGTGTTTTCTGTGCTAACGGCGTTAGCATTTTTTCGCTCAGGGCTAATTCAGAGGCTCAGCGTTTGCCTTGTGTTTTTTTTTGCTAAAAATGGTTCACATCATCAGTTAGCTGAGTCTCTTCCCGTTACATGGATATGAACCATTCATAGTTTATTAAATAGTAAGAAGCCCTCAGACGCCGTTTCCTGCAGATTATGCGTTTTTTTCCCCCGCCGGCGGGCTGATGGGGCCTTACAGGTTAAAGATATCAGCTTATAATTTCTCCAGTTAATTACTTACTTTAAGACAATTGTGTTTTGTATTACAAGTTTTCTGAAATAGCATGTTTAAATATGCGCATATTATCATACATTTCAGGAACACAATTCTGAACATTGGATAAAGTCAGGTTCAAAATTCTTGTTTCATTTTGTAGTGCACCAGTCTAGAGTCTAAAGTTTTTACTGAAGGGATTTTGGATATTTCTTTTTATCACTCCATAAATCAGAAAATACTGTCAACAGCCCTAAAATATAATTGTTTTGCCATGTTTTAGGTATAAAATGTCTTATAATTCAGGCTATATATGAACAAACCCTTCTTTAAAAACCTTCAGAATATTGATTGGAATATTACTGGAAGGTTTGGTAAATGTAAGTGCTACCAAAGTGGAAATGTCTCACTCTGAAAAAAAACTCATTTTGAGAAAAATAACTTTAAAGATTGCTGTGTGGCGCTACCTAAACCCTCCTGTTCTCTAGATCAGTGGTTCCCAAACGGTGTGCCGCGGCACACTGGTGTGCCGTGAGGCAAGTCCGGGTGTGCCGTGGGATTTTGTGACAACCATACGTTATTATTGCAATATACAACTACACAAAAATAATATTTTTTTAATTTACTATAATATCAGTACTTTGTAGGTTTATATGTACGTAATATGCGCGACTTGTGCGTCCACATCTCCACGTGCAGTGCTGCATAAACATGGCTGAGTCAGCGATAACTTTTGAGGGGTGGAGGTGAGGTGCAAACTGTGTCCAGGCCAGAAGCTGTTATCCACTGCTGTAAACACCACGTCAAACCTCAACAAGCACCTGCAAAGAACACATGCTAAGGTGAAGCTACCGCACAGCTATTTGTTGTTTGTTTATATATCACGTCGTCTGTTCTTCTTCTCTGTTTTCCGGTTGTTGCCTGTTTTGAATGACAAATACACACTACCCCCGCCTGCTGGTAAGGAAAGTTATTGCCACTCAGGCACGCGCAAGTTCGTACGTGCTCGGCGAGTAAAGTAACGAGTTACTTTATGTAGATAGTAACGAAGAAGTGCAATATATTACTTTTTGAAAAGTAATATGTAATATATTTTTTAAAAATAGTAACGACCCCATCTCTGGAGTTGGCGTTCTCTACTCTGATTTACATGAAGAACAACAGGAGGTCACGGGACTCACGGCTCTCTGTTGAACAGGACTTGCGAGTGGCCCTCTCCTCAGTGCCACCAAAGATACAAAAAATCTGCGCACCCCGACAGGCACATGTATCTCACTAATTTGTAAGTCGGCAAAATATTTACAATAGCACATGTTTCAATGCTGATTGCTGAAATGTTAATTTTGTGACCTGTCTGGTTTAAATGAGTGTGTTGCTGCTTTGATGAAACCTAATTTGATAAAGTTTCAAATTAATTTCTGAAATATTTCGTTAATAAATATTTCATGAGTAATATAGTTGTCTTTGTCACATTTTATTTGGCATTAGCAAATAATTATGCACATTTACAGATATTTTACATGATATGAGGGATAACACGTGTTATAAGGGCTATTTTGCACAATAGGTGTGCCTTGAGATTTTTACTTGTCCTTTGGTGTGGCTTGGGCACAAAAAGTTTGGGAACCACTGCTCAAGATGACAGCTTGCGCCTCGACACACTCCGTGAAGGTATTTAATGTTCGGGGTCATTTGTTTTTTGTCTAATCTTGCTTCGTGGAAGTGAAAATGGTTGTCGTCTTCTGTGAAAGTTTTTTTTCGCTGTTCTTTTGCCATTTTGAGATTTTAAATTTCCAGCGAAAGCTAAACCAGGAAGTGTTTTAGCACACCACGTGACGCATCTGAACGAATCACATTGTCAGAAATGTACACCAGTCAATGAGATTTCGTTTTTTGGTTTAAGACCTCTTTGTACACGATTGGTTGCTGATACAAAAGAAATAACCATATTTGGATCCAATGAGATTGTGCAGGAGAAACAGAGCTTTCCAACGATACCTCTGATTACATGGTGCAAACAGCGGTCGCGGTACTTTATGTTACGTTAGAATGCTAACTTTTGGTGAATTTAGGAGAAATCTACAGACGCAGACTGCTTCATTTGAGTGATTCTTCAACAGTTATTTAATAACATTTGTTGAGAATTAGTTGAAATGATAGCTCAATCACTTTTTTGTTCAAGAAGACATGTTGCAAAAGATTGTAAAAAAATGTACTTAATGAATATCTCTCTATGTCTGTTGCTTTAGAACCAGAGAGGACTCAGACTTCACAGCTGTGACCTGTGTGACAAATCCTTCAACTCCACTGGGAACTTAAAGGTTCATCAGAGAGTTCATACTGGAGAGAAACCGTACAGCTGTGACCTGTGTGACAAATCCTTCAACTCCACTGGGAACTTAAAGGTTCATCACAGAGTTCATACTGGAGAGAAACCCCACAACTGTGACCTGTGTGGGAAACCGTTCAGTACTCTATTTCAAGTGAAGTGCCATTATCGTATTCACACTAGAGAGAAACCATACAGCTGTTACCAATGTGGGAAAACCTTTGCTCAGAAAGGCACCCTTTCATCTCATCAGCGCATTCATACTGGAGAGAAACCCTACCGCTGTGACCAGTGTGACAAGTCATTCACTACATCAAGTCTTCTGAAGTGCCATTATCGTATTCACACAGGAGAGAAACCACACAGCTGTGATGAGTGTGGGAAAACGTTCGCTAGATCAGATAAACTCACAATCCATCGTCGTATTCACACAGGAGAAAAACCATACTGGTGTGAAGAGTGTGGGAAAATGTTCACTTCATCAAGTCAACTCACAACCCATCATCGTATTCACACAGGAGAGAAACCATACTGGTGTCAAGAGTGTGGGAAAACTTACAACAGATCAGGTGAACTCAAAATCCATAATCGTGTTCACACAGGAGAGAAATCACACAGGTGTGACGAGTGTGGGAAAATGTTTTATTGTTGTGGTGACCTTAAAGTCCACCAGCGCATCCACGCTGGAGAGAAACCGTACAGCTGTGACCAGTGTGACAAGTCATTTATTACATCAAGTACTCTTAAGAGGCATCATCTTATTCACACTGGAGAGAAACCATACTGCTGTGAACAATGTGGGAAACACTTTACTCAGATCAGTACCCTTAGATCTCACCAGCGCACTCACTCTGGAGATAAACCATACAGCTGTGATTTGTGTGACAAGTCATTTACTAGTTCAGGCTATCTTAAGATTCATCGTCGTATTCACACTTGAGACAAAACATACAGCTGTGAACAGATCATTTCCCTTAGACCAGTGTTTCTCAAACTTTTTCATACCAAGGACCACTTAACAAATAAAAAAACACTCGCGGAGTGAAGTTCAAAACACTAAGACACGTTAGGTATGAGAAGTGATAAAGTACATATGTGACGTTCTTGTTCTGTTTGAACAAACATTGTTCTAGTGAAATTCTGATATAATATTATCTCATGTTCATTATTTTACTTCATTGTGATGGCTGTTAATTTTCTGTTTTCTCAGTAAATGTGAGTCTTGCTGCTGTAATAATCTGAGCTGTAAATTTAAAACTTGTTTTCTATTTTCTCATTAAAGTTGTCGACACAAAGAGACTCTTTGACTCATCATTAGAAACTGTTTAATTTTTTATAATTACTTACAATCACTTTGCTTTAGGCTTTAATTTTTTTTAATGCCTCATCTGAAAATGTTGTTTTTTTTACGTTTTATTTTATTTATAATATATTTATGTGTTCATAATTAGAGCAACTGCCAAAAAAAACAGGTTAAATCATTTTTCTCTTAAAGAAATGCTCCACTCATTAGATAATTAATCAAAACTTCAGTATTTAGTGAAACATTATGTTTAAACCATACCCTGAAGAAATCAGCGATATTCCCCGGTAAATAATGATTTTATAGCTCTTTTTTATCAAAACCTGTATATTCTGTCAGGCCGCTGCCATTTTTGCCATTTTCAGTAGTCACGTGATGGTCGTGACGTCATCCATGCGTTCACTTTGTAAACACACGAAAACATGGCGGAGTATTTGAGTTCGGACTCGTCAGCCGAGGAAGAAGTTTTGAGCAATATGAAGAGATTGGATGGGGGAATTCAGCCATACAGGTTCGAGCCAAGTAGTCAGAACCGTCAGGAATCCAGGGACAGTGACGATGAGGATGAACAGCACGGTGATCTTGCTGGAGACGATCCCTTTACTCGTGCAATTGATTTCGGGAGGCGAGTAGGAAGACCTGTACATGAATGGTGTACCTAGAACCACGATTTTATGGGGCCGGAAAAACTGGGGGAAAATACCCACTAGCCGGTACTACGCTATATGGAAAGGCCACCAAAAACTGGCCTGGCCTGGACGATAAAGGACGTTTAAACGGGGCTACCCGCTGCAATGGAAATGCGCTATAACATACCTTATTCTTACTCCGAGCACTACTTCTGGTCCTCCGTCGCTTCACACTTGCAGAGGGCGATTTCTCAACTGGCCGAACTGGTCGGTGATGACACCAGAAAGACCGATGGTACTGCATCTCCATTAAGTAATGGTTGTTCAATAAATCCCATGTTATGTTTTATCATACTCTCAGAGTAGTCGTCCGGAAACTTGAAATGTTCGCTGCATACATGCGCCTGTGGATCTTTCGGTTCGGGCCGGCCACATTTCGCTAGCCACTGCCTCCGAACATACTTCCTACGCTTACCTTTTGGCAACAGATGGAACCGAGCATTCCGTGGATTGTTCCTATCAGAATTGTGGCAATGTTTCGCGATACAATGAGGCATATTTGAATAGAGTAACTACAGTAAATAACATGAACATCAACGTGTCCTCGAAACCAAACGCATGGTTTACGTCACGTCCGGTAAAATGGCGCCGCCCACAGTGTTGATGTTATTTCATTTGAATCTTTAGTTTTTAAAAAGTTATAAAATGCTCTAAAAGATGAATCCTGATTGTCTCATCCCTCAAACGCACACACACTGTTTTTGTTTTCTTTTTTGTCTCCATGTATATTTTGTCATTAGTTATATGTAATTAACCTTACTGTCTTCTGTGTATCTGTGACACTGTACTTGTATGCACTTGTCTTGTAACTCCTATACACTACATAATTTATTTTTGTTTTAAGTTAACTCAAATGAACTGAATAAATATAAATTATAATTATACCGTTTTTGTAACATTTTAATTATAGCTTATTTGGTGAATTAATTTAATAATGCATAAAATGTACACTGTAAAACATCACAGCCCCATTTAATTATGTCAAGTTACATTGTCTCTTTAATTCAAAGATCTCTGACACGTTTTTGATTTTGAACTCAGCTTTTCTAGTTTTAGAAGGTTAAACTTACATGTATTCACTGTCTTGACAACTTAAACATTTTGTCACATTGACTCAACTTGCCTTAGCAAGTTATCAGTTGAAAAAATAAAAAGGCAGGAGTGCAGGTTTGAGAGCTACAGGAAAAAACGTATGCTTCCACATTCGAGTTTAAAAAAAACCTCTTTAAACTGAATGCAAGGTTTAAGCATGGATGTAATCAACTAGTATATCCTAAAGATGTCATATTTTAATTTGGACTAAAGTAAAGACACATTTTGATCGAAATGAGAGGACTACTGCCGCTGGCGGAGGAACTCTGTGCACCTGCAGCGGTGATCCAATTGAGGCGGAGTAATACGTTAACCTAGAGTCTGAAACACCGGCTAGGACCGTTACGGTTATGGAGGGCATTTATTTCTGCTGCAAGACAGCAATGGAGGTACGTTTGAATGATTTTAAAACCTGTAATTCTTTGTCTGTTACTACGGTTTGAAAACGGATTGGGGGTGGCGGCGAATAATCGATTAATATTCGCCAGGGCTGTCCAATTTTCGAATTTGATCATGGTCAGTTTCTGGCATCCCTAATAGCAATAGTAACGTTCGGATTTTCGTGTGTCGGATATTCAAACTATTACTTTATAAGTATCATACCAAAATGTCATGAGAGTAACTTAGCTTTTTCGGGAATAGTGCAGTGCGTAATGTACGTAGTGTGTGGGCAAACGAGCAGGTGAGAGAGCGTCCGGAGCCGGTGGGGCGTGGGATAGAGAGAGGGAAAGCAGTAGCTCTTGAGTTTAAATCTAATGTCTGGATCACTTCACAGCAGCAATAAATAAAGACCACAAAAACAACAAACAGTGACATATTTGATCGCTCTGCTGCATGAAACTTGCCACTGCTGTGGTATGATTTGAAGAAATAGGGGGCAACTGCTATTAACAATGTAACCTGAACACTGGAACGTACATTTTATTCACTCCAAGCATAATTGTCCTCATTGTAATTTTTAAAACAATTAGTTTCATCTCTACTGATATGAAAATATAAATGCTCATACCAATATATTTATGGAAGGTCAATATTAAGGTGATTAACGTGCATTTATTTTGTGTTACAGGTGTGAACAGCATGTCCAGTTCATGAAGTGGAAATGTAAGTTTTGTGCGTTCTCCTCCACCTGGCAAGGAAGAATAATTCAGCATTATAAACAGCGTCATGGACATCATTGAAGGTGTTCAGGCCTTATCTGTATTTATGAAGACTAGTTTGAACACATTTCAATCCCAAGCTTTACTTAAAAAACATTTGAAAGTACATGTTAAAGAAGCTTTACTAATGAGGGAATAATAAGGATTCTAGCTTGGATATCATATTTACCTACCCTTGTCTTTTTCCCCCCTGGAGGACACAAACCAGAACAGAAGAACGGCTGCCCCACTCAGTCTTCTAATATTTATTCCAGAGGATTCCTCCAACGTAATCAGGATGTGTGATGTAAGTCACTATATTACTATATATTATACATTTAATTTTCTCTCGCTTAATTTGAGGTTTTGCCATAGCCAATATAATGCTCATTGGTGTATTGTTTAAGTATTACTATTGTTAATTTAGGAATTGCAATAATGGATGAAAAAGTGATGACCTTTGTAGTGGAAATGTTTATCATACCTTATACACTGTATGCTTAAACCAAATGCTTCTCAAAACATTGTCTAAAACACCTATACCATTTCATGAGTTGTGCTGTTCTTTCTACTCTAATGAGGGTTTTTATTCCCAAGCGCTTCAAGGCCACAGAGCTGATTTGGCAGACTATGTTGAGACTACTCCTCTTCACACAAAGTCTCACAAGAACTTCCCTATTCTGAGAACCGTTATACGATCTACAGCGTGTAAATAAGTCAATAAGTGTCTTTGTTATTAGGCTCATGGAGAAACCCTCGATGTGATCCTGAAAGGAATGCAGGTTGGACTGTTGATTGGACATGAAGGCTCTCTGCTTGACTAATTTCCTCTGGAAGATCATCCTCCATGACCTCCGAGATGTGCCCACAGGCTTCGCCATGTTAATGGGGGCAATCTACTGCCTCAACCTCGAGTACCCCCGCACTCAGAAATAAACTGCTGAGATATCACCTCTAAACAAATGACTGTGTCATAGCAACTGGAAGAAGGGAGTTTCTGTTTTGCACTGTTGATCTACACATTGTTCTTGTTTCAGCATTTTTTTGTCTTGTTTTGTTTCTTTGAAAGCAGTAAGTTTGTGTCCTTGTTTCTCCCTATAGTATATTTTAAGTCTCTTTGCAGTTGTTATGCATTTCTGCATCACTTTATATTCATTGTGTCTCTTGGTCGTCACTTTAAGTTAGTTTTGTTGGTCATTATGTCTCTTTGTGGTTATCTTGACCCTTATCATAGTGAGTCTAACATTGGTCATTTGTAAACTCTCTCTGCAGCGCTGACGCTTTGTTGACCCGCGCAGATCTCTTAATCCAGTAACGAGTAAAAGGAAGTCGAACATCAGTCCTCAGTTCCTGTTTTTCAGATGTTTTGAAACATTTCACATGGTTTAATGCAGGGGTTCTCAAAGTTTTGATGAGTGAGGGCCAATTTAGGTACCCAATATTGGATTGAGGGCCGCCCAAGAAAAAACGGAACACAAAATAATTCCAAAACAAATCCTTTCTTTATTGTACTAACCAATTACCGCAACTCGCGAGATGCCTAGTTGCCATGCAACCAGTAGTCTAGCAAACTTTCCACAAGCTGTCATTCATAATTTAGGAATGACAACCCAGGGGGCGCAGTTTTACCATTCTTAAATTCCATTCTAATTCTTAATAGATACAACCATGGAGGATTAAAATATAACGCATGCATTTCAGCGTGTCACATTAACTATCGCGGGCCGCCAGAAACATTTCCGAGGGCCGCCATTGGCCCGCGGGCCGCACTTTGAGAACCCCTGGTTTAATGGAATGACAAAACCAACATAATTAAATAAAAGCAGTTTTATTCCTGTGAATAGCATAGTATAAAACCGTTTTATTTTTGTGTCATTTGGATGAAATCACACCTTATTCGGAGGTAAAAACATTTAGAAACAGGTCAAGGTTATTTATTATGATCATATATTATTATATATATATATATATATATTTTTTTTTTATTATTATTTTTTTTATTAAAGTCTTTGTGTCTCTTTGAAGTCATTTTGTAGTTGTTTTGTGATTAGCTGTAATCCTTTTGTTTGCTTTTCTGTCTGTAGTGACCATAGTTAATATGTTGTCTCTGTATTATTTTCTATTTGTTGTTTATTTCTGTGTTTCTTGCATATCATGTTTTGACATTTTGTGTCTCTTTGTAGTTTATGTTATGTCTTTGTAGTTTATTTTGTGTCTCTGTAGTCATTTTTATGTAGATCCTTTGGGTCATTTGTCTTTCTGCGGTTATATGTTCCCTTATTATAGTGGTTGAGTCTTTTTTCAGCAGTTTTTTTATCTAACTGTGGTAATTTGTCGCCATTTTACGTTTATTTATTTTCTCATTTTGTCTCTTTTTAGTAATTTTAAGTAGCTTTTTTTGTCATTTTATCTCTTTGTGGTTATCTTGACCCTTATCATAGTGGCTGTGCTTAATCTGATTTTGGACTTTTTTGAACCCTCTACATTTTGTTGACACATGCAGATTTCACAAACTCATTCCAGTAATAGGAAGTCTCAAATTTCCCTATTTTATTGTTTTGCAGATGTCAGGATAATTTCTAGTATTTAAGCGATGGTTTTCCTCCTGTTCTCCGCCACGGCTCTCCTTCCGCTGCAGGTTCCTAGAAACTCTTTTATCTTTTTTACCTTTAATCCTCTTTTCATCATCCTCACCATGAAGACACTGGTTGTGTTTGTATTTTGTTGTTCCTCCATGGCCTTGGCTGGAGCTGCTGGTGAGTATTATAATTTATATATAACTTATTCTTAATATATTGTCAACAATAAGCCAATAACTACAGTTTAAATCTGTCTAGTTCTTTCAGAGGCAGCACCGGAGGAAGGCGAATTAGGTGAGGAGACTTTGGATTTATTTCTTGTTTAACAAAACCATTAGTTGAATAACACAAAAAGAAATGCAGTTTTTTTATTGTATTATCAGGATTCTATTTTTATTTTTCAATTGGGTTTTCATTATTTTAAGTTGTGTATTAATTCATATAATTTTGTGTGCATTATTCTTCTTCCTATTATTATTATTATTATTATTGTATGCTTTTTTATTTTATATTTGTTATGTTGTGTAATATTACGGAGCCCCTAAAGGACAACAACAAAAAAAAGAGAGAAAAAAAAAGTCGGGATAACGGGTTAGTAAACTATGCCGTTGTCCCGACTTTTTTTTTTTGATAAAAAAATGCTGATACCGCTGCGCCATAGAGGAAGTGGAGCACACAGGAGACTACCATTTCATTGCAGACTTTTATGTTTACGTGGGGAAATTACAGTGCATACATTATTTGAGATATATTTCGAACTCAGACTTAATTTTAAGGACATTTCAGCCAGGGGTGTGTGGTTAAATGGTAGCAGCCTGCGGTCACTCTAACGGCAACTGTCAACGGGGGGAGCCTAGCTGCGGGGAAACGGTGGACCTCTGTCGCCTGTCAGCGCAACTGAAATGATGCCGTTTAAAAGCATAAAAAATAAAGGGCGGTGCCGGCCGTCAGCGAACCGAGCCGGCCGTGTACGGCCCGCTGACGACTGGCCGTTCTGTGATTCTCCAGAACACACAGATGGCCAGTCGGCCCTTGCACACATCTCTACACACCGGGCCTGGCGGCAAAAGGGGGCATTGCCCCCTCAGTTGTCTTATTTGCCCCCTCACTTTGAGCATCATTCATCCATCGAAAAGTAAAATAAATGTCACAATTATTAAATAACTTTAAATAATTATTTCCCCCAACACACGTTACTATATCTAGATCAGATTTTTGGGCAGGCAGTCAAGCAACGTGTAAAAAAGCCTGAACCCCAAGTGAGCTTGTTAATTAATGTTAGCGTGTGCTTAGCTGTAAACACAGTCGGATGGGGGACCAAAACGTCCCCGTTTTCCGGTGGCCGGTACCCGGTTGAAACTCCCGAAATTTGTTCCCGTTTTTGAATGTGCTTTAAAAAACATAGAGCAAGGTGAAACAAAATGTTACATGCACACGAGAAACTATCCTGTTATTCCAACTTTTTTCTTTCTCTCTCTTTCTTTCTTTTTTTTTCATGTCCCTTTAGGGGCTCCGTATAATATTAACTTTTATTATTTATTTAAACTTATTTTAAGTTATATGATACTGTGTTATATAATTATATTTCATCATGTATTATATTATTTTCTTATATCATTTTGTGTGCATTATCATTATTATTTGTATTATATTTAATTATTATGAATATATTGTCAGTCAATAATAAGCCAATAACCACAGTTTCAATCTGTCTAGTTCTTTCAGAGGCAGCGCCGGTGGAAGACGAATTAGGTGAGTAGACTTTTGTTTTTTTCTTGCTTAAAAAAGTTTAATTTAACTAAAAAACTAAGGACAATAATAAGGAAACAAATATGGTTACATTTTATTTTATTATCAAAATTCTATTTAAAAAATATTGAATTATGTTGTATTGTTTTTATTTTAAAGTGTGCTTTAATAACTTATGCTATTTTATTATTTATGTTAATAGTTTTTTTTATGGGCCTATAAGGATATTTTTTTGTTTTATGTTATGCTTTTTCTTCTATAAAGTGTTATTTGTATATGTATGTTATTTAATTTATATTTAATGTTATATCATGTTATGTTACAGTGTGCTATATTAACCTAAGCTGTTTTATTTCATATTGCATTTTGATTTATTGTTAATTTTCTCTTTTTGCTTCCAGCTGAGAGTCCCAGCTCCAATGCTTGCCCTGGAGACTGGACGGAGTTTGATGGCCGCTGTTTTCAGTACGTTCCCAAAGAGCTGAGCTGGGCCAAAGCTGAGGTCAGTGAGAAAAACATCTCCACATATAAACATTACGATGATTTCTAAAGTAAAACATTTCAATATAAAGGAACTACAGCACGGTCACATGACTTCACGTCACCACCGCTAAGCTAAAGGTGGCTAATGTTGGGCTATAAAGGAACTACAGCACGGTCAAATGACTTCACGTCACCACCGCTAAGCTAAAGGAGGCTAATGTTGGGCTATAAAGGAACTACAGCGAGGTCACATGACTTCACGTCACCACCGCTAAGCTAAAGGAGGCTAATGTTGGGCTATAAAGGATCTACAGCACGGTCACATGACTTCACGTCACCACCGCTAAGCTAAAGGTGGCTAATGTTGGGCTATAAAGGAACTACAGCACGGTCACATGACTTCACGTCACCACCGCTAAGCTAAAGGCGGCTAATGTTGGGCGTGATGACGTTTAGTCGTCTCATTTTGAAAAACAAATACTGACTTATTTATGTCCTTCAAGGTACAGTTATTATATGGTGCTTTTATTTTTGAAAAACAAGCCCTATCTTAAGCTTCCTGTAACTATACAGTTACTATATATATTTTTTAAATAAGGCTAATCCTGTGCTTCCTATTAGGATACAATTACTATTAAGTTACTTTATTTTGAAAATAAAGCCTTGTCTGATGCTTTCTGTAAGGGTACAGTTACTAAATTAGGCTTTCATTCTGTTTCCGTCCTGGTTCTCTGTGACTGTTCTTAAGTACACCTTTTAGTTACTTGTACTTTACACAAGTTCTTCTTTCACACCTGCTTCCTGTTGATGTCCTGCAGAAAAACTGCCACTCCATGGATGCACACCTGGCTTCTGTTCACAGCACGGCAGAACACAACGAGATCCAGAAGATAATCATCGACGCCTCGCAGAAGCTGAAGGAAACCTGGATCGGAGGCTCGGACGCACATGAGGTATTTTATAATATTTACTCAAATACTGCATTTAGGTGTTACTCTATAGGTACTCAACTTGAGTATTTTAAACCTGTGCTACTTATTTTGAATAGCGAGCAGAAAAGCATTAATTTTCTGTCTTATTTTTTTTTTTAAATGTCGCATTAAATACACTTTTTCTGCATGTGGACGAGTGGTTCTGGTCTGATGGGTCACAGAAAGAATAGCGAGCAGTAAAGCATTAATTGTCTGTCTTATTTCACAGTTTTTTTGACGATATGTCGCATTAAAAATAAAATACTAAATGTTTCTCAGGTGGGTGAGTGGTTCTGGTCCGATGGCTCACATTTCGACTACAACGACTGGTGTGCCGGAGAGCCCAGTGTACAGGAAGCCCAGAGGTGCCTGCAAATCAATTATACAGGTAAAATAATATTCTTCATTTAAGTAATAATGCCAACTAATTGGGCTTTTATTTTGAAAAAGTAAGCCAAATCCTGAGCTTCCTGTAAGGGTACAGTTTCTCCTTTAGGCTTTTATCTTGAAAAACAAGCTTTACCTGACGATTCCTGTAAGTATACTGTTACTTTGTGGGGCTTTTATTTTAAAATCAAGCCTCATCCAAAACTTCCTGTTAGTAAACACTTAGCTTTTGGGGCTTTTATTTTGAAAAACAAGCAATATCAAAAGCTTTCTGTAAGTAAACAGTTAGTTTCTGGAGCTTTTATTTTTTAAATCAAGCCTCATCCAAAACTTCCTGTTGGTAAGCACTTAGCTTTTGGGTTTGTTATTTTGAATAAGAAGCAATATCAAAAGCTTCCTGTAAGTAACAGTTCTTTTCTGTGGCTTTTATTTTTGAAAAAAAACATTATCCAAAGCTTCCTGTAAGTAAACAGTTATTTTCTTGGGCTTTTATTTTGAATCATAACAACTTTTTCATATAATTTCAATAAGTTCTGTATGATACTCATTAAAAAAACGGACTTTCTGAGTGCATGACTTTTACTTGTAATGGAGCATTTTGACAGTTTATTATTGCTGTTTTCACTTTAGTAACAGGTCTTCTTTCACATAGTGTGTATTTTGTTTGTTTTTTGCAGAGGATAAGTGCTGGGATAACATCGAGTGCTCCACCGAGCGTCCGTCCGTCTGTGTCAAAGACGCAGAAGATTTCCGAGATGTGTTTGTTTGCGTGCATGCGTGTGTCCAAAATATCTAATTTTACATATTTTCTTTGACTATTGCTGTTACACAGAGGCATGAAGGCTTATTCGTGTACGAATAAAAGGCTTAAGCATTACAACAACAAAAAAGCTGGTGTCCATCCATCCATCCATCTTCTTCCGCTTATCCGTGGTCGGGTCGCGGGGGTAGCAGTTCCAGCAGAGAGCCCCAAACTTTCCTTTCCCTGGCGACATCAACCAGCTCTGACTGGGGGATCCCAAGGCGCTCCCAGGCCAGCGAAGAGATATAATCCCTCCACCTGGTCCTAGGTCTACCCCTTGGTCTCTTCCCAGCTGGACGTGCCTGGAACACCTCCCTAGGGAGGCGCCCAGGTGGCATCCTAACTAGGTGCCCGAACCACCTCAACTGGCTCCTTTCGACGCGAAGGAGGAGCGGCTCAACTCCGAGTCCCTCCCTGATGACCGAACTTCTCACCTTATCCCTAAGGGAGACACCAGCCACCCTGCGGAGAAAACCCATCTCGGCCGCTTGTATCCGCGATCTCGTTCTTTCGGTCATGACCCATCCTTCATGACCATAGGTGAGGGTAGGAACGAAAATGGCCCGGTAGACAGAGAGCTTTGCCTTCTGGCTCAGCTCCCTTTTCGTCACAACGGTGCGGTAAAGCGACTGCAGTACCGCTCCCGCTGCTCCGATTCTCCGGCCCATCTCACGCTCCATTGTTCCCTCACTCGAGAACAAGACCCCGAGATACTTGAACTCCTTCACTTGGGGTAAGGACTCATTCCCTACTTGAAGTGGACAGTCCATCGGTTTCCTGCTGAGAACCATGGCCTCAGATTTGGAGGTGCTGATCCTCATCCCAGCCGCTTCACACTCGGTTGCGAACCGATCCAGTGAGTGCTGAAGGTCGCAGACCGATGAAGCCATTAGAACCACATCATCTGCAAAAAGCAGTGGTGCAATCCTTAGTCCACCGAACTGCAGACCCCCTCCCCCACGACTACGCCTCGAAATCCGATCCATGTATATTACAAACAGGATTGGTGACAAAGCGCAGCCCTGGCGGAGGCCAACCCTCACCGGAAATGGGTCCGACTTACTGCCGAGGACCCGGACACAGCTCTCGCTTTGGGAGTACAGAGATTGGATGGCCCTGAGTAGAGACCCCCTCACCCCATACTCCCGCAGCACCTCCCACAGTAACTCCCTGGGAACTCGGTCATACGCCTTCTCCAAGTCTACAAAACACATGTAGACCGGATAAGCGTATTCCCAGGCCCCCTCCAGGATCCTTGCGAGAGTAAAAAGCTGATCCGTCGTTCCACGACCAGGACGGAATCCGCATTGTTCCTCCTCAATCTGAGGTTCGACAATCGGCCTGACCCTCCTTTCGAGTACCTTAGAGTAAACTTTCCCGGGGAGGCTGAGTAGTGTGATGCCTCTGTAATTGGCACACACCCTCTGATCCCCCTTTTTAAAAAGGGGGACCACCACCCCGGTCTGCCACTCCTTCGGTACCGTTTCCGACTTCCACGCAACGTTGATGAGACGTGTCAACCATGACAGTCCCTCAACACCCAGAGCCTTCAGCATTTCCGGGCGGATCTCATCCACCCCCGGGGCTTTGCCACTGTGGAGTTGTTTGACGACCTCAGTGACCTCCCCCCGGGAGATTGGTGTTGATCCCCCGTCATACTCCAGCTCTGCCTCTAACATAGAGGGCGGAGTTGTCGGGTTCAGGAGTTCCTCAAAGTGTTCCTTCCAACGCCCTAACACTCCATCAGTTGAGGTCAACAACGTCCCATCCTTACTGTACACAGCTTGGATGGTTCCCTGCTTCCCCCTCCTGAGGTGTCGGACAGTTTTCCAGAACAACTTTTGTGCCGCCCGAAAGTCCTTCTCCATGTCTTCTCCGAACTTCTCCCACACCCGCTGCTTTGCCTCGGCCACGGATGAGGCTGCTGCCCTTCGGGCCTGTCGGTACCTTGCAACTGCCTCGGGAGTCCCCCGGGATAACAAATCCCTGAAGGCCTCCTTCTTCAGTCGGACGGCTTCCCTGACCACCGGTGTCCACCAGGAGGTTCGAGGGTTACCGCCCCTTGAGGCACCTAGGACCTTGAGACCACAGCTCCCCGCCGCGGCTTCGGCAATAGAGGCTTTGAACACCGACCACTCTGGTTCAATGTCCCCAACCTCCACAGGAATGCCCGAAAAGCTCCGCCGGAGGTGTGAGTTGAAGGCCTCCTGAACTTGGGCCTCCTCCAGACGTTCCCAGTTCACCCGAACTACACGTTTGGGCTTACCAGGTCTATCCAGAGGCTTCCCCCGCCACTCGACCCAACTCACCACCAGATGGTGATCAGTTGACAACTCCGCCCCTCTCTTTACCCGAGTGTCCAAAACATACGGCCTCAGGTCCGATGATACGATAACGAAATCGATCATGGACCTTCTGCCTAGGGTGCTCTGGTACCACGTACACTTATGAGCATCCTTATGTTCGAACATGGTGTTTGTTATGGCCAATCCATGACTAGCACAGAAGTCCAGTAACAAACCACCACTCCGGTTCAGATCAGGGGGGCCGTTCCTCCCAATCACGCCCCTCCAAGTGTCTCCATCATTGCCCACATGTGCGTTGAAGTCTCCCAGCAAGATTAAAGAGTCCCCTTCAGGAGCCCCATACAGGACTCTTTCCAGGGTCTCCAAGAAGGCCGTATACTCTGAACTGCTGTTGGGTGCATAAGCACACACAACAGTCAGAGTTTTCCCCCCCATAACCCGCAGGCGTAGGGAGGCGACCCTCTCGTCCACTGGGGTAAACTCCAACAACGAAGCACCTAACCGGGGACTTGTGAGTATCCCCACACCCGCCCGGCGCCTCACACCTTGAGCAACTCCGGAGAAGAATAGAGTCCAACCCCTATCCAGAAGTAAGGTTCCAGAGCCGACGCTGTGCGTAGAGGTGAGCCCAACCAGATCCAACTGGTAACGCTCCACCTCCCGCACAAGCTCCGGCTCCTTCCCCCCCAGAGAGGTGACGTTCCACGTCCCCAAAGCTGGTGTGTCATAACTATTTGAAAAATGTTCACTGTTACTCTGAATATTATTATTATTATTATTATTATTATTACTGTATTTGTATCATTGTCATACAAGAAGTATACCATTTATTATAGATGTAGGAAACTTTAATTTATTTCAGTCACATGACTTCCTTTCGGCAACTGCTGATGGTTCAAGGTCAGCGAGTCATGTAACGTTCAAGAACATCACAACAAAATTGGATATTACACTATCTAATCAAACTAAGAAAATGTAAAGGAAACGTTTGAGGGTTAGTTAGTTTATTTGAACAGCACATTTTAAGACAGAAAGGCAATTCAAAGTGCTTAAGGGCAATGATAATGCACAGTTACATCGAATGTGTGTGATTTATAATAAAATGAATTACAAATAATAAGCATCAGTGTTCGTTATTCAAAACTGAGGGCATTACGAATAGAAAACAAACTAAAACAACAAGAGGTCACTTCGGAATCGAGGTGTTTGGAAATGTGTAAAATGTTTGGGCTTTTTTGTATAAGTTCATGTCATTGAGAAAAGCTGAGAAAGCAACATCTGTGTATGACATTTTTCTCAGTGCAAAAATCCCAGCCCCCCTGAACGCACCGCAGCGAAACCGAAAGTTAAATGTTTTCTCGGCAGCTGCTCCATTAACTGGGTTTAAAAACAGCGGACGGAGGTGTTTTTTTACTGGAATCTTTTCACCTTTCTTTGAGCAGAAAATACACATCCAACCCGCGAGACTTAGAGATGGGTCCGCGTGCTCTGCTGCTGGCTACTGTGGTGTTTTGTTCAGGTAAAAGTTTCAAGTTATAGTCGCCATTTTGACCACTTGTGTTTTGGAGGATGCTGAATCAATTTCTGACATTTTCAGGATAAAAAATGTCAGTTTTAACCAGATAGTAGCCATATTTGTAGTCCCGGTGAGCTAATTTGGACTACTATGAGCGGAGATTGGATATAGTAGTCACCACATACAGAGCATTTGGTACAACTAGTTCCTGAACAGTGTCCTTCATATGCTGATATACAAGAGAGGGAGTTACACAGTCACAAGATGGAGGAATAGAAAGCAGTATTCAATGTTTAGTTCAGATTAGCTCCACGTCAGAAATGAGCATGCTTGTCATATGTCTATCTCCATAGAGGCTGAATCATCATGTTAATCACATAGCTATCATATGCCTAAAACAGTTCTCATGCTCTTCTAGGTAATCACACATCCTGTCGTGTACACAGCTACAGTTGGGATACCTTTGTTATCATGTGTACTCTGGTGTTGGAAGAGTACGTTCAGTATTTTCCCACCATACATCTTTTAAGTATTTAGTTTTGTGTTTTCCCAGCAGAGTCCTCGGTCCATGGCTCTCCAGAGAAGGTTTGCGTCTCTGCCGGCGGCGTCGTTATTCTTCCTTGCAGTTTCCCTCTCAACGATGTCTTCCGTACATTGGAGTGGTCCAAGACAGACCTGAAGAAAGTGATCGTCTTTCTGTTCCGAGACAACCGCGAGGATCTCGTAGAGCAGAGCCCGCTCTACGTTTCCCGGACGAACCTCTCTGTGGAAGATCTGAAGAGTGGAAACGCCTCGCTGAGGATCTCCAACATTCAAGCTGCGGATGCAGGAACGTATCAATGCATGAGGATGTGGAAGAAAGGCCAAGAAAATATTACAGAAGTGGAGCTTTTTGTTGGTACGTTCAGTCTACCTATCAGGGTTCATTTGGCAGAGATGTCAAAAGTACACACATTTACTCAAGTAGAAGTACAGATACTCGTGTTTAAAAATACTCTGGTGAAAGTAGAAGTACTCAATCAATCAATGTTTATTTATATAGCCCAATATCACAAATGTTACATTTGTCTCAGTGGACTTTACAGTTTGTACAAAATATCAGTATGACAATACGACACCCTCTGTCCTTAGACCCTCACATCGTACAAGGAAAAACTTCCGGAGAAAACCCACAGTTTAAAGGGAAAAATGGGAGAAACCTCAGGGAGAGCAACAGAGGAGGGATCCCTCTCCCAGGACGGACAGACGTGCAATAGATGCCGTGTGACTAAACTTCTTTACTCAAGTCAAAGTAAAGAGGCTTTGAAATGTACTTCAGTAAAAAGTACCCATAACTCCCAGCTGTTTTAAAGAGTACCTGACCTCCCTTTATATTAATAGAACAATAATTTCATTGTTAGCTAATGAATGTTTCCATGCTGAACAACGGCAACATGACAACGTTTCCATTGGTCCCTCTTCTTTAGAGAAGACCAGGAAATGATGGATACACGGATCGTGTTCAAATCAATAGACACGCAATGACTCTAAAGAATAATGATCACGCACCAAACACACATTCAGACTAAAGGAACCAGCTGTTTGGAAAATGAGAGAAGTAGAAAGTACAGGTATTTGTGTTCAACATGTAAGAAGTAGAAAGTACAGGTATTTGAGTTCAACATGTGAGAAGTAGAAAGTACAGGTATTTGTGTTCAACATGTAAGAAGTAGAAAGTCATCTGAAAAATAAGTCGTGGAGTAAAGTACTGGTACCAGAAAAAAAAGTACAGTAACAAAGTATTTGTACTCCACTATTTCCCACCTCTGGTATTTGGACTAGTAGTAGTGAGGCGTGTGGTGCAGTGGGTTGTCCCTTGGTGTTCAGATCAGGGGGTCATAGGTTGAAACCCCACTGCAGTCAGCATGTCGTTGTGTCCCTGAGACACTTCACCCCAAATTGCTCCTGTGGGGATTGCCCACAGTACTGAGTATGTTAGTCGCTTTGGATAAAAGCGTCTAACAAGTGACATGTGATGTAGTACAATACCCCAAAAAGTATGATACTGTACAAACTTAAAGGTGGGGTAGGTAAGTTTGAGAAACCGGCTCGAGATACACTTGTTATATTCCATGGAATGCTCTTAACATCCCGATATCAATGAATATCTTAAGTGCTTTGACAAAAAATCCATTAAAACATGTCATCTGTTGAAGCCGTGGCGCTGTAAAAAGCACGACCAATCATCTGAGCCGGCTAAAGTAACTGGATGGCCTACCTGCCTGTCAGCCTTCCATCTGTGCACAAACTCATCTCGTGCCCTCATTGGTCATGTGCACGTACGTGTGTGTTGGAGGAGGGGCTCTGTGAGGAAGTGGCAGATTTTTTCCGGCTGTGTATTTTCAAATTCTTGCGCACTCGAGCTGGTTTCTCCAAAATTACATACCCCACCTTTTAAGCAGTATGAAATTTATACAAAAAAATATTATTGACTTACAAATTATATATAAACAAATGTTATATCTAATTACACATCAGAAAAGGGGAATACGTTTACACTTATGTAATCCCACCCCTTCTCCCAAAAGCTTAATTATTTAAAAAATAAAATGGTTTTCTTTTATCAAAATGTACATCTAAATGTATGTCTTCATACAATATACATTTACAATTATAAATAATAATTGTTTTCTTCCTGATCCTGATCCCCAAATCTCCGTCATTCCTCTGAAAGTTGGAGGTTTTACTCTCGAATGTGAGGCGACAACCGTGGGGTCGGATGCGGAAATCACCTTTCTCGATGAAAACGGAAAAAACCTTTCTGCCGATGACCCAAAAAAAAATGTCTCCAGAGGATGTTACACCGTGCAACGAGTGACTCTGCAGGAAGCCGCCAGCAGGTCCAAATGTTCAATAAACATTTTTTTATATTGTGCTCGAGCAGGGGCCACATACAGACAAATCTGATCTCAACAGTTACAAAAAGTATACAAACAATAATAAATACAGTGTGATACTATTATTGTATAAATAATATTAATAAAACAAATATATAATAATAATAATAAATAGGAATGACAATAATGAATAATAACACAATATATTATAATTATAAAATGATTATTATAATACCATAATAATGTAAGAATACATTAATAATAACTGGTAATAATATCAATAATAATTGTAATTGCATCCTATATTAAACTATATTCAATAAAACATTAAATGTCCTTTCTTAATATATATATATAAAATATATCTAATTTAGTGCAAATGTCCAGTATAAATTAGAATGTGGGGATAAAACAGGGGCCACAGACAGCCATTCTGATCTCAAGGGGGCGGGGCAAGTAACATCTTAACCTGTAAATAACAACTACTCCCTTTTTTGTTTTAGTGCAAGGATGCAATGTTCACATTTAATTAACTCTCTTCATCTTATTAAAGGGACAACCGGAAATACTTAAGTGTATTTTCAACAACAATAAGCCTCAGTTAATCTTTTACACATGTGCTTACAGAGTATCAGAAACATCTAGTCTCTATGGGCTCAGAACGGTCTCATAATACACACATGCTCACAGAACATCATACCCTCGTGGGGGCGCGCTCATGTGATTGGCTTAGAATGGCTATAGATAGAAAAAATATATGTGCATTGAAAAACACAAGTGTGGATCCTTCTGTGTGCATGTGTGTATTATGAGACTGTTCTGAGCCCATAAGTATCCGGTATCTGGAACTGAACACTATACAGTATTTTACTCTATGATCAAATCTACTGGTCAAGATCTAGAAAATATTTGACATTACTTTCCACATCTGTGTAGTAATCCTGAGCAGCAGCATACAAACTGAAGTGCAATACAATCCCCCCAATGTATAACATGTACACAAAAAATACATAAACTCTCACGTTAGACACGTTTGTGTTGACGGGGACATGCCTGCATTTGCATTTCTGAACAACAAATGTATTTGTATCACAGGGTCACCTGCAGAGTTCAGCGGGCGGACACCAACGAGACCAGAGAGACGAAGATTCAACTTCCAGGTAAACTAATACTGCTCACCTGTACCTCGTCAATCAAATCAACCATATTCATTATATCATAATATCACTTAGTGTCAATCCTCTGTGTGTGATACAAACAGGGAGATCCAAATGCTGTTTCTCAACATCCCAAATAATACAAATATATAAGAATATATTCATATTCATACATACCAGGGTTTCCGCTAGGATTTGTTCTTGCCGGTCAAGTGTCCGGAAATAATTTATTTTACCGGACGTATTCTAAACTTACCGGTCATGTTTCAATAATAATACGATTAATAAGAATTGTGTAGCAGAGTTTCCGTTTGCAGGTAATTACCGGACTATGACCGGTAATATGCTGATGTTTAAAACTCAGTTAATGGGGCTCATTTTTCGCTTCAGTTTATAATCGTAAAAGATCGAAAAGTTGAGATTCAATTTTCAATAAATGATTTGCTTCAACAAACAACATCATTATTACATTCAAACAAACTACTTGTAGATGAAGTCCATTATTCAAAAGTTTACATTAACTTTAGAAAATAACACGGGAGAAATAAACGGAGCCTCTCTCTCTTTCAATTCAATATGCTTTATTGGCATGAATGTCAGCAGAACAATATTGCCAAAGCGTCAAGAATAATACAATTCAATAGTGATATCGTAATAAAATTAAATACAATTCATTCATTAAACTATTTACAACAATATATTATTAAAACCGCAGGTATGAAATGTAAAAAGAAAGAAAAGAAAGACGTATGAAGTAGAGGAGTATCAGAGTGAGCTGTGAGGAGAGGAATGGCTGTTATATGTTGTTGTTGTTGTTGTTGTTGTTGTTGTTGTTGTTGTTGTTGTTGTCTCTTAGGCTGTGACACATATTTCGCTGCTTCTCTGCTGCTGGCACTATTTTCTCCAAGTACATGTTGCATTTTATTCTGATCCGACAGTGATTCAACATCTTGGAGTTTACATGTTATCTTTGTTAGTACTTAGAACTTTGTTCTAAGTTTCTCTCTCTCTCTCTCTCTCTCTCTCTCTCTCTCTCTCTCTCTGATAATGATTACCGGCTAACGGAAACTCTGATACATACGTCATATAATAAAATATATCAATTCAATATATTATATTGTAAAATATAATGCACAGGTACATGTCCAATTATTTCCCCTATTAGCATAACATAAAGCCTCATTTGCATATTTAAACATAATATATCAGAAAACTTGTAATATAAAAAAGAATTGTGTTAATGTCAGTGATGAAGTGAGGGAGTTTCATGGTGATATCTGTTAGTTAATTGTCTTACCGTATTCCCCTGCAGCGTGTACGATATACGATACAGATCTTTAAAGGCTGTTTTCTCTCCTCTAGTTTACACTTCAGTCGTACTAACACGCACACAGCTCTGTTAGTTATTGGAGTCATGTTTTAGGGTGTATACTTTATAGAATATGTAAAATAATGTCCTAATGTCAGCACCATGTTTGTTTGTGTTTCAGTGGAGGAGCCAAAGTCCTGTTCTCTCACCGCTTTGTACACTGTGGTTGTCACTGTATTAGTGACTGTAGTTGTCACTGTATTAGTGGCTGTGTTTGTGTTGAGATGTAGATCAGCTTTGGTCGACTCACTGTGGAGGAAATGTTGCAAAACTGGTAAGTCCCTAACACTCAGACACTCACTCTGCAAGAAGAAAAGTCCAAATGTGGGGCAAAATATTGGTATTAAAAGTGCTTTCTGCGACAAAATCCACGGTAAAAACCATAACACATATCCACAACTTCAACATATTCCCGATAAAACAAATGTCATCACATTGAGACTGAATAAATAACAACATTCAATCCAACTTAAAATAAAAGTAACAGGGTGAAGCTAAAAAATATTGATTAAGCTTTTAATGTGAAAAAGGTGCAGGAAAGACGGTAATATAAGTGGACCAAAAGAAGAGGATCTTTCTTTCAAAGACTCAAAGGTTTTATTGTCATATGCACATAAGCTACAGTGTAGAAATGGCATGGAAATTCTTCTGACCTGAGCTCCTCCAACGAAACATATAATAAAATACAAATAAAAAATAGTGCAAGAAGTCTTTATACACGTAAATAGAATATGATATACAAGAACAGAATGTGAAATTAAGTATTGTACATTAAGACAACATTAAATAAGGTTTATTACGGTGATAACTATTAAGATACATATATAAATTGTAGGATGACAAACAGATTAATGTTTATCGTGGCACTTCGTGAGTTCAGGTATTTAGCAGTCGTATGGCTTGTGGGATGAAACTGTCCCTGAGTCTGGTGGTTTTAATCCTGATGCTGCGGTACCGCCTGCCAGACGGAGCAGTTTTATTTATTGTATTTAAGGGGTTAAATGAAATACTCATTCTGTATACTTAGATATTTCTGTAGTCCTGCAGAAAGAACAATCCGAGCCAAACTCATGTACTAACGGTTCATTTTGTGTCATCCCGCAGAGCAAATGTCAACATTGACTGGAGTGTCCTCGGGGGAAAGTGCTTGTGACATCAGGACAACGCGGAAAATGAGACCATTGAGAAACTACAAACAGAAGTGGCAGCCCAGTCGGAGTGTAATCAGGATAAAGAAACAAGCTGCAAACTAAATAAGGACATTGCTAAGCTGGCCCCTGATGAGATGAATCAGCAGGATGACGAGTCCTCCCATTTACTATCCCCTCCTAAATCCACTTCTCTGCACAAACGTTTGCCACGGAATTCCAGTGAGAGCATCGCGTAAGTAAATCGACCTAAAAGCCTAAGACTAAGCAGTAAAGTTTTTCGGATTTGGACAATTTTGGAGTGGATTTGAGGAGTCATTGAATCCATTTTTGAAATGTTCCGCATAAAAAATGGCAGTTTAACCAGACAGAGGCCATATTTGCACTCTGGATCATTTGGATTAGACAGTGTTTATTTATTTGAAAAAAAATGGTCCACAGTAGAGGTTATCATTTTCGTCTTGACCTCTCTATATCCAATGGCTGCTACATTGCTTATGGTAGTCCAAATAAGCCCACCGTGACTACAAATATGGCCACTTTCTGGTTAAAACTGCAATTTTTTAACCTGATAAAATTGAAAAAACAATGTCTACGCATTGGTAAACTTCTTGGTGGTCAGTTTAGTCTTGGTTCTCTCTTTTTAAAAGTCTCTATTGCAGGTACTTTTGTCAATTGATACATCCAACCTATAATATATTGTATAATATCCACAAACTCATCACCAGGGAGGCGTGTGGTACAGTGGGTTGTGAGTTGGTATTCGGATCAGGAGGTCACAGGTTCAAACCCCGCTGCAGTCAGCATGTCGTTGTGTCCCTGGGACGCTTCACCCCAAATTGCTCCTGTGGGGATTGCCCACAGTATTGAGTATGTAAGTCGCTTTGGATAAAAGTGTCTAACAAGTAACATGTAATGTAATGTAACATACAGTTGCATAATCAGAGTTTTAAACGTGGATTAGTTCTGAATTCAAGCTCTAGGTTAGGTCGAGGAAACTTTACGTAACTAAGCGTAAGTTAACTTGAATTTTAAATGTATTTGACCAATGCATCCTCCTGTTTCCGGACGTAACATGTTTGAGGCAAGTTCATTACAATGTTATTAGCATAATTCCAATTTTTGAGGTAGTTTTGTTAGAGAGCCAAAAGCTAGCTGCTTCCAGTCTTCATGCTAAGCTAACATCATGCTAACCAAGCTACATGTCTAACCTACAGAGCCAAGTTACAATGTTTTGATCTATCATTGCAAGAGCATTTTATACATATATTCTCCTACTAATTGCTCATTTTATGAAATGTGATGCTGTTTCTTTAGCATTTGACTGCTAATGCTAATTCTTCTGCACGTCTTTCAAAGTGATTTTTATTAACGTATGACTGAATGAAACAAAACAGAAAGCTGATTACATCTCAGCAGTGTTGGAAGAAGTGCTCAGGGGCCTCATTTATAAAGGGATATACTCTCAAAAGATGGCGTACGCCAGTTTCTACGCAATGTTTACGATTTATAAAATACTAACTTGACGGGAAAACGTGCGGTCCTCCACGCAAACTCTGACCCATGCGTACGCACTAAGCACAACAACGGGAGAGACAAGAAACTGCGACACCGTTGGCAGAAGGAAGAATGGAGAGAAATATGTGGAAATAATACCATAAATAAAATGTTACCTCTCATTTATCATTTATGAAGAATTCATTTTCAAACATTGATTAAAGCCAATCTTAAAATGATTAAACAAACGCCTGTGTGAGACTCCTCAGTGCACACAAACACATAACTTGGAGGAATAAATAAATACGGATATGTTATTTAAAACCACCTCGAATATGTTGTGTTAACGTTATGAAATGTTTTCTCATAAATGATGCGGTTTTGCATTTCTATAGGTTGAGCATGGTTTTATATACTACCATGTTTAATCATGTTTTATGCCGTTTGCTAAGACTTGATAAGTCGCTCATAAAACACAGGAGGTATGGAAGCTAAGAACACCATATGTGGTAAATTGTACAGTTAATATAACACAACACATTAGTTGTATTTCCTTTAACTGGTGGATATAGAGTTGCTGCAGTGGAGACGCTGCGCACAGTTGATCGACAGCTGGGACACAAACCCCCAAATACGAAAACATAATTCAGATCCAGTCGTCATGACTCCACACCGGAGGGATTCCCCGTTCACTTCTTACAGTTTCTCATCAAGGGGGGGGTCTCCTGTCCCCAGTACAAACACACTGCCTGAGGAAGGCTATGTGTATTTATTTTGTCATTAGCCTTTTCGGACCACTTATTTATTTATTTTGGTGACGATCCGACCTCTATGCTGCTCTGGTTCAAACTGCATCCAACAAACAATATGATTTATCTCCACCTCCCCAAAATAACCCACATCTGACACGGTGTGAGACGTCTTTTTTAGCTGTTCTGTCGTCATTTCCTGCGATCTTCTTCATGCAGTCAGTCAAAATGAATGAATGAATGAAAGAATGAATGGGCGTTTCTTTGACTATTTATAGGCAAATATGGGCGTTACGTGAAGCCCGCAAAAGCTGCACCGCATTTCGAGTCGGTTGTGATTTATAAAAGGGAAACCGGCGTAGGAGGTGCTGTACACACTTTCCTCGCCGGTACGCACTGTTTGGTGAATCGGAAAATGTAGAAACATTTCTGTACCTATTTTTTGGATTTCCACTACGTAAGCAACCTTCCCACGTGAATCCTACGCACGGCGTTATAAATGAGGCCCCAGATCCTTTACTTCAAATACAAATACTCTACGTTACCATTGGAGGTCCTAATTTTAACATCTTAAAGTTAGGGGTTTATATAATTCAGTTTTTAAACATTTAAGAGCGTTTTAGAATCGTAGTTTGTCAATGTAAACACATTTATATATACTGTGTTCAGAAATACTTTGTAGATCTGTAGTAATTAATAAATAACTACTTAAGTACTATACTTGAGTAAATATACTTAGTTACTATTCACCTCTACATTTCAGTATACCCACATTTGAGGATGTGTTTTCCCTGTTTTAGCCACCAAAGGATGCTTGCAATATTACCTGTAGCTGTGTCCTTCTGCAATATCCTCTGTGACTTATAAGATGCACCGGTGCTAATTGTTCCTCTAAACATTGGTAGAAAAATACATTTATTTAAAGTAACTAAAATGTCTTTATATCTGCAGGTTGTTTCACGGTGGCGTTATGAAAAATGTGAAAATATTTTTAGTGTGCTGATAACTCTGAAACTTTATTTTTGAAAATGTTTTGCATATTTTAATGTGTGTGGGATCTATAAAAGCTCGGTTTTATAAAATAAAAACAAGTACTGTATTTGGGATCATATATTATAATTTTTTGTAAACATTATGGAAACATGTACTCAATTTGTGTGTTTTTAAACATGTCCTATTCACTATTTTATTAAATAAAGCACTTTTTTATAACTTTAAAGGTCCCATGTCATGGCCGTTTCTACTGATCATAATTCCATGGTTGAGGTCTACTAGAATAGATTTATATTGTTCAATGTTCCAAACTCACATTGGTTTCTCATACAGCATCTCTGTGTATAGTATGTGTATTCACTCTCTGTCCTACACGGCTTGTTGGAGCTCCTGCCCCCCCCCCCCCCCCCCCCCCCCCCTTTGAGCCCACTGTGCTCTGATTGGTCAGCTTGCCCACTCTGCTCAGATGAGTCCACCACCGTTACAGCGGAACATCAGTGATTATGTGTTAGAATAGCGTTATCAACCAGAAAAGGACACCAGTAAGGACAAACAGATGAGAATGCTGCGTGGGGTCTGGGTGCCGTGTTGGCGGGACGTTGCGAGGCTCGAGGAGCCGACAGTGTGAGCTGGATTACTGGTGTTGTTTCCTGGTTGCTGCATATGGGGTCTGCGAGACAGCGAGACAGCTCAGCCTGTCCCGCCGGCACGGCACTTGGTCTATATTCAGCATCCAGGGAAACACAGCCGCTCCGGGGGTCTCAGCTCCTGAGCTGCTCGGGAGTCTGTCCTGGCAGAGGGTGTGCCTATAGAGAACCGCAGTGACGCGAGCTAAAACCCGGATGTAAACTCCTTCCGGTTCCTTCGTCAAAAACGCAATCCAATTTCTCCATAGGATTTTGGAAAATAGCTCGAAATAAGGTCTGTGGTGGAGACACATTTAAGAGACGGATACAAATAAATCATTATTATATTAATATTGACAATAACAACCGACCGTCAGGGTAGCATTTGCTTGGCATTTACGGGTATTTCTCCACTGGTTAACAATACTGTGTAGCTGTCACGTTTGAAGGGACGAAATCGTGACATCTTCACGTCTCCCAGCATGGTAAATCGTCACATGTTCACGTCTTGCCGTGATACCGGGTTGTGTATATTATGAGTGTTACATTAAGAAGTAGAAATGTTTAAATGTAAAGTGTAGTACGCTAGTTTATAGAAGAAGCTTAGATTTAAATTCGTTTTCTAAAGAAATCCATTAAAGCTTGTTTTGTGTTGAAGGACATTCCTTCGTTAAGGTGATCGAATCAAAGTCTGTGTTTCTGCAAAATGAGGAAGAGCATTTTAAGGTAACCCACAAGCAGCAGCCCGATGACACGTGACAGAGAAAGTGTGTGTCTCTCCAGAGGAAGTGAGTGAAGTGTGTGTGTGTCCGTCAGTGTGTGTAGCGACAGGATGCAGCTACCACCGTTCTGCCTGATGCTCTGTGAGTACAAACTACCTGTGTGATTTTATTATTTAATATATTTATAAGAGCATTGTTGCGTCGACTCAAATCTGAAATCAAAACCCAATCTCAAAACCAACCGTTCATGAAGGACGTTTTGTTATTAAATAATATTCTTATTCAGGGTTTCAGTATCTGAAGTCTTCACACCCTCTCGGACTTCTTCACCTTTTAGCGTTAAACTAAAAGGGATGCTTTGATGCACATTTACAGGAAATAGGTTGAGGTAATATTTACCTCAACCTATATAACCTAAATATTTGCTTTTGAACGGAGAAGAAACCCGACCACAAAGACCTGCGTCAGGTTTAGAGGTGCTGCATCAAATAACTGATCGTCGTGCGATAGCTCGATGATCAGTTCTTCTCTCCCCCACCAATTTTGTTTTTATCTGTCTTTTTTTTATTTCCTTACTTCTCATCTGCTCTTCAGGCATTTATGAGTATTGTAAAAAAAAAAAAATGTGTTGTATTTATTAATATATAATATTTCTTCATTTGTTTAGTTTAACCATTTTATTTTATATTTTCATTGTTTAATTCTTTGTTTTATTCATTATAATGTATTATTTATTTTCATTTCTTCATTTATTATCTATTAAAAATAATATTTTTTTTGTTTAATTTCTTAATTTATCTTTATTATTATTATTATTATTATTATTATTATTATTATTATTATTTACTTTCAATGTTTTGAATTTACTATCAATTTTGTTTCCATTTATTATCTATTTGTATTTTCTTCATTTATTATTACTTATTATTTTTCTATTTACATTTTCATTTATTATTATGTTTCCCATGTTTTATTATTACCCCTCGCCTCCATGCAGCCTGTCTCCAGGTGAGTCCCGACCAGTCTCAGTTCTTCAGGTATAATTCGTTCTCTCTGAGCTGTGAGGACCAGCTGAACGGCACCGACTGGATGTTGAAGAGGAAAACTTTTGGAGGCGGAGTCCGGGACTGTGGCTCCGGCTGGGGGACCACAGCCTCTGGGGTGAGCTGCACCGTGGGGACCACAGCCTCGGGGGCGTGCTGCACCGTGGGGACCACCTACCACTCTGACACCGGGCTGTACTGGTGCGAGTCCGGAGACGGGAAGAGGAGCAACAACAGCGTCAACATCACTATCACCGGTACGGAAACTAAACAAGGGTAAGGGTTACATGCAGAGAGGGCAAAGTACATCCTTTACTCAAGTAGAAGTACAGATACTCGTGTTTAAAAAATACTCTGGTAAAAGTAGAAGTAATGACTAAACTTCTTCACTTGGTGATGGTGTGGATGTGTAGGATCTATACTTGGATCAAAATCCTGATAAACTCATTACATGTAACCGGAGGTGGGAAGTAGTTGAGTACAAATACTTCGTTATTGTACTTAATTACATTTTTATGGTATCAGTACTTTACTCCACTACTTGTTTTTCTGACGACTTTTTACTTTTACTTCTTACATTTTGTTGAGGTCTCCATATTAGGTTGAATAATTAAAACGAAAGTTAATTACAGTCAAATATTATCAAATATATTCTTGTATAGCCCACAATGAAAATGCATTACGTTTTATGTTGTTCTATAATCACAGTATATACAAAACACAAATGTTTTTGTTAGATTGAGTTTAGAAGCCTATTATAGTTTATGGGTGCCACAGATAAAAGAGGGAAGACAGTTTTCTTCCCTCACAGCTGGCTGCGCACAGGGGGGGGGGGGGCACTGACTCAATGGAAAAGTACTGAAGCCCCTAAATGTGTTTAGGCCATAGAATATGTCTGGACGTGTCCAGTCCTGCACACCAGAGGCCATGACCTTTTCCCACATATATGGGTATGAAGGAGGTGTCTTTGGTTTTCTGTCCCTGTGTGGATCATACAAATACTGGCTGAGAGGGAGAAAGCTCCAGAGCGGGGTTTTTCCCCTGGTTAGTTGTCTCATCTTGGTAAGTCCTCTCAAATTGACTTTGGTTTTGAGTGAATTGTTGAATGAAAGTTTGAATGTGTTAGATACCACTGACCATTTATGAGGAGATCCCTCTAAATGTTGTCGGACTCTAGGCTTGAATGTGTTTTTAGCACTGGCGATCAATGGGGAGATTCCTCTGGGTTCTGTCGGATTAGACTGTAAAGTTTGAATGAGTTTGATAGCACCGACCATTTATGAGGAAATTCCTCTAAATTCTGTGGGGGAAACTGAAGAGGGCAGTTGAAGTTATACTTTAAATGTTACAACTGAAGTGGGCCAGTTGCAGTTAGAATTTAAATGTCACAACTGAAGTGGGCCAGTTGAAGAGAGTGACAAAATAAAATAAGAAATGTAAAACTGGGAATTGAGGTCTCATATTAGTACTTGACCACAGCATGATATGTTTTGTATGATTGTCATATTGTAACGAGAGAAGGTAAAACCCTGTAAAAGTGTGGACCATTTTCTTCAAATAAAATGATCCTACCTTTTTGGATTGGGACAACTTAAAGAAATATGTGCTCTCCTCACCTGCTTAAAAGGTAAGATTGCACAACTGCCACACTCACACTTAGGCAGGGCCACACCTCATTACTGATACCAGAATCCTTCGGGATCGCTTGAACAGATTTAGCGTGACGTCTGAATTGAAACAGCATTTAATTGAACCTGGTTCTTCAGGAGTTAATAGAGGTGAGACCTTGCTGACCTCGGTGGATCCGAGCCGAGCAGTAAACTTACTTAGACTCAATAGCTTCTGTTAGGTCAATTAGTAGGTCTGAGTAATTTCCGGAATAAATTACCAGGCTTCCCGACTCCAGCCATTTCTAACACAAATACCTGTACTTTCTACTTCTTACATGTTGAACCCAAATACCTGTACTTTCTACTTCTTACATGTTGAACTCAAATACCTGTACTTTCTACTTCTTACATGTTGAACACAAATACCTGTACTTTCTACTTCTTACATGTTGAACACAAATACCTGTACTTTCTACTTCTTACATGTTGAACACAAATACCTGTACTTTCTACTTCTTACATGTTGAACCCAAATACCTGTACTTTCTACTTCTTACATGTTGAACACAAATACCTGTACTTTCTACTTCTTACATGTTGAACACAAATACCTGTACTTTCTACTTCTTACATGTTGAACACAAATACCTGTACTTTCTACTTCTTACATTTTGAACCCAAATACCTGTACTTTCTACTTCTTACATGTTGAACTCAAATACCTGTACTTTCTACTTCTTACATGTTGAACCCAAATACCTGTACTTTCTACTTCTTACATGTTGAACACAAATACCTGTACTTTCTACTTCTTACATGTTGAACCCAAATACCTGTACTTTCTACTTCTTACATGTTGAACACAAATACCTGTACTTTCTACTTCTTACATTTTGAACACAAATACCTGTACTTTCTACTTCTTACATGTTGAACACAAATACCTGTACTTTCTACTTCTTACATTTTGAACACAAATACCTGTACTTTCTACTTCTTACATTTTGAACACAAATACCTGTACTTTCTAATTCTTACATTTTGAACCCAAATACCTGTACTTTCTACTTATTACATGTTGAACTCAAATACCTGTACTTTCTACTTATTACATGTTGAACTCAAATACCTGTACTTTCTACTTCTCACATGTTGAACCCAAATACCTGAACTTTCTACTTCTTAAATGTTGAACACAAATACCTGTACTTTCTACTTCTTTCATGTTGAACTCAAATACCTGTACTTTCTACTTCTTACATGTTGAACTCAAATACCTGTACTTTCTACTTCTTTCATGTTGAACTCAAATACCTGTACTTTCTACTTCTTACATGTTGAACTCAAATACCTGTACTTTCTACTTCTTACATGTTGAACCCAAATACCTGTACTTTCTACTTCTTACATGTTGAAGACAAATACCTGTACTTTCTACTTCTTACATGTTGAACACAAATACCTGTACTTTCTACTTCTTACATGTTGAACTCAAATACCTGTACTTTCTACTTCTTACATGTTGAACTCAAATACCTGTACTTTCTACTTCTTACATGTTGAACTCAAATACCTGTACTTTCTACTTCTTACATGTTGAACTCAAATACCTGTACTTTCTACTTCTTACATGTTGAACACAAATACCTGTACTTTCTACTTCTTACATGTTGAACTCAAATACCTGAACTTTCTACTTCTTACATGTTGAACTCAAATACCTGTACTTTCTACTTCTTACATGTTGAACACAAATACCTGTACTTTCTACTTCTTACATGTTGAACACAAATACCTGTACTTTCTACTTCTTACATGTTGAACTCAAATACCTGTACTTTCTACTTCTTACATGTTGAACTCAAATACCTGTACTTTCTACTTCTTACATGTTGAACACAAATACCTGTACTTTCTACTTCTCACATGTTGAACTCAAATACCTGAACTTTCTACTTCTTACATGTTGAACTCAAATACCTGTACTTATACTTCTCTCATTTCCCAAACAGCTGGTTCCTTTAGTCTGAATGTGTGTTTGATGCGTGATCATTATTCTTTAGAGTCATTGCGTGTCTATTGATTTGAACACGATCCGTGTATCCATCATTTCCTGGTCTTCTCTAAAGAAGAGGGACCAATGGAAACGTTGTCATGTTGCCGTTGTTCAGCATGGAAACATTCATTAGCTAACAATGACATTATTGTTCTATTAATATAAAGGGAGGTCAGGTACTCTTTAAAACAGCTGCTAGTTATGGGTACTTTTTACTCAAGTACATTTCAAAGCCTCTTTACTTTGACTTGAGTAAAGAAGTTTAGTCAGTACTTCTACTTTCACCAGAGTATTTTTAAACACGATTATCTGTACTTCTACTTGAGTAAAGGATGTGTACTTTGGCCCTCTCTGACTGTAGCCTTGCTGTCATAAAGGCATGCAGACTCACGTTAACCCCAGAGAAAAGTCTCTAAATGCGTCTCTCTCTCTCCTCCTCAGATCGCCCGGTGCTCCTGAAATCTCCTGTCCTCCCGTTGTCAGAAGGATCCGAGGTGACGCTGCACTGTCAGGCCGAGTATATTTCCTCCGACCACACTTTCGACTTCCAGAGAGACGGCCTCTTCATCGCCAGTAGCCGCACGGGAGAGATGACCATCCGCGGGGTTTCCAAATCTGACGAAGGACTCTACAGCTGCAGCATCCCTGAGGTGGGAGAGTCTGTGGGCAGCTGGCTCACTGTGGAAGGTGAGAACTATCCAGGAGACGTATCATTTCAGTTATATTTTGACTTTGCAAACCCAGAGGCTTCTTCACAACTTCACTGTCTGGCTTCCTTCTGTTCTGTAAACATAAGGATGTTAATGACCTAGTTGCCTTCATCCCCCCTTTCTGTCCTATCTCTCTGTATACATGTATTGGGTTTCTTGTCTGATTTCCTTGTACTACATAGTTATCTGTCCTTCCAGCTGGAATAGGTTGATGCTTTTATATGCTTTAACCCTTCATTAAATAACACAACCTTGGTTTACACTTGTATATCTGTTTGTTTCTTACCAGAAGGTGATTCATTGTGGAATTTCCCCCAACAAGAAGAATCTACAGGTGCTTTATAACTGATGAAAAGTTAAATCAATCAATCGATGTTTATTTATATAGCCCAATATCACAAATGTTACATTTGTCTCAGTGGACTTTACAGTTTGTACAAAATATCAGTATGACAATACGACACCCTCTGTCCTTAGACCCTCACATCGTACAAGGAAATATATAGGGGAGAGTTATATCCTACTTTTACATTTTGTTAGCTGTAATTTGACCCTTCATAGTTTGACTGATAGTCTACAGATTTGTATCTTTCACTGTCAACATAAAAATATATATTCAACTTTGTATTTACTATTTTGAGATGTTTATATTTTATGTTTGTTTATTTTCTACTCTTTTTATTTTATCATTACATTATGTGCATGCCTTGTTCTAACATGCTGCTGTTATGAGTAAAGTACATCTTATCTTTTTAGGAAACGGTACAGACAGAAACGGTAAGAGTGATGATTGGTTGATTGTTTGATTGATGCGTTGATTGTTTGGTTGGTTGGTTGGTTGGTTGATGGGTTGGTTGATTAATTGATGGTTGGTTGGTTGGTTGGTTGGTTGGTTGGTTGGTTGGTTGGTTGGTTGGTTGGTTGGTTGGTTGGTTGGTTGGTTGGTTAATTGATGGGTTGGTTGGTTGGTTGGTTAATTGATGGGTTGGTTGATTGGTTGGTTAATTGATGGGTTGGTTGATTAATTGGTTGGTTGATTGGTTGGTTGGTTGGTTGATTAATTGGTTGGTTGGTTGGTTGGTTGGTTGGTTGGTTGATTGATTGATTGATTGATTGATTGATTGGTTGGTTGATGGGTTGGTTGATTCATTGATTGGTTGGTTGGTTAATTGATTGGTTGGTTGATGGGTTGGTTGATTCATTGATTGATTGGTTGGTTAATTGATGGGTTGGTTGATTAATTGGTTGGTTGGTTGATTGATTGATTGATTGATTAATTGATTGGTTGGTTGATGGGTTGGTTGATTAATTGATTGGTTGGTTGGTTAATTGATTGGTTGGTTGATGGGTTGGTTGATGGGTTGGTTGATGAATTGATTGGTTGGTTATTTTGTTGGTTGGTTGATTGATTGGTTAGTTGGTTGGTTGGTTGGTTGGTTGGTTGGTTGGTTGGTTGGTTGGTTGATTAATTGGTTGGTTGGTTGGTTGGTTGGTTGGTTGGTTGGTTCATTGATTAATTGGTTGGTTGGTTGGTTGGTTGGTTGGTTGGTTGATTAATTGGTTGGTTGGTTGGTTGGTTGGTTGGTTGGTTGGTTGGTTCATTGATTAATTGGTTGGTTGGTTGGTTGGTTGGTTGGTTGGTAGATCGGTTGGTTGGTAGATCGATTGATTGATTTTTCTCCACAGGTTCCTCTTCAGCTCCGCCTGCAGCTTCCTGCCAGGTTTCGGTTCCCCGGCTGATGTGTCACCTGGTGGTGGGAACTCCTTTCTTGCTGTCCACCATATTACTGGGACTCATTTACAGAGACAGAAACAGAGGTAAGACGAGGAAGGGACCACGGATAAAACTTGATATCACACAATGTTATAGAAAGCTGCAGGAATCCTGAAACCCTGAAATTAGTAGCATCTAAGAGCTTCCTTTAGCTTAGCGGTGGTGACGTGAAGTCATGTGACCGTGCTGTAGTTCCTTTATAGCCCAACTGTATTTTGGCCTCTGTCTTTTTCTAAAGCGCTTTTATTTTCCTTTTCTGAAATGTCCTTTGTACATGCCTTGCATAACAAAAATCAAGGGACTTTTTCAGTCTCTAATCAGACCCCAAAGCACTTTAAAAACATATTATGAGTAAAGCTTTCAGCAGGATGATATTTAGTGATTGTTAAGACATAGATTCAACAATTATATTCCTTGACACCTGATGTCTTTCTGCTCGCAGCAGCTCGGACGACTGCACAGAGACGAGGCAGCAAAGACGTCGTCATGGAAATATGATGAATATGAAGCTGTCAGATCCTGACCAACTGGGAAAAATGGGGAAAGAAATTCTGCTCTACTTACACCATGATAATGTTTTACTGCTAGTGTTTAGTTCCTAAGGTAAACATACATTATGGTTGGAAGAAGTATTGAGATTTCTTAACTTTGTGTAATATATTGAATATTTGTGCCTCTTTATATGTCAAAAAGATGGTTTAATCTTTAGGGATGCATTATGTCAAAGATGTATTACGATTTATTTTTATTTTAAATAAATGTAGTCTAGTAAAAAGTATGTAACACCTCCATTGGACTCCTTTGTTTACAGTAGCATCACTATGGAAAACTCACGCTCTTATCGGCTAGCGCTCCAACGTGATAGGCTAAGGGGCGGGACATGTGGAAGTGGTTGACCAATCACAAGAGCCGGCCAGCTAACCAAATCGACATCACAGAAAAAATATGTATAAAAAATGGATTCATTATCGTACTACACAACATCAACAGAAAATACACTTTCTTCGTCCTCTTGTTTCGCGCTTAGTTTTGTTTTGATTCGAAGAAATGTGTAAATGTGAGTTGTGTACAACAGGAACAAAGCACATAACGCTGCTGATGGTGAACAGGAAGTGGAAAGTGTCAGTGGTTTTATTTTCCGTCCATGCAAACAAAAGGTGTGAAGTTTTACCCCAACCTTAAACACATCTCATATCTGTCCAAAGTCGACTCAAAATTAACTGAAAAATGACACAAAAACGTCCAGTTTTATTTATGTTCTCACATTATAGTTAATCTTGAGTGTTGAAGAAACAAACCCAGTTATTGTCAGTGATTTTTATTTTGTTTAATCGGCCGTTTCCTGTCTGCGTGGTCAATTGTGGTGAGATTATTCATAATGAAACTAAGTCGGGGTTATTTCTGAGAAATGGAAACTAGGACATTGTGCTGCTTTGAAACACACAGGCCAACATTTATACAAAACAAATCAAACTGAAAAAACAGGTCCTCGAGTCTATTACACTCTTTTTCAAGAATATATCACAGGTCTCAGATATATACAAAACATGTCTCTGATTGACTGAAACACCAAACAGATCATTGCAGCATTACCCATAATCCCCTCTGTTTCAGCCCTGTTTCCAAAGTGCTGATTCTCTGTCTGTTACTTTAGATGAAAATAAGGAGCCCCTCCCCACGCCCCTCTGAGAGAGATTTGGTTACAAAGAACTCAATGGTGCTCTAGAGGAGATTCAGGTGATAAGGGGGGGGGGGGGGGGGGGTACCTTGGTTGGTGATTGGCTAATGGTTACACAAGACAACACATCCTTATGACATCATCAAGTGGCCAAAATCTGATCAGCTCATTTTCAGACAGGTGTTTATAGAAATTGATCAAAAAGAGAGAGAATCTTTGTTCCTGAAACTTTCAGAGTCTCTTTCCACAGAGGGGACACATGTTGATGTAGAAGAGACATGAAGAAGAGGGGACACATGTTGATGTAGAAGAGACATGGAGAAGAGGGGACACATGTTGATGTAGAAGAGACATGAAGAAGAGGGGACACATGTTGATGTAGAGACATGAAGAAGAGGGGACACATGTTGATGTAGAAGAGACATGAAGAAGAGGGACACATGTTGATGTAGAAGAGACATGAAGAAGAGGGGACACATGTTGATGTAGAAGAGACATGAAGAAGAGGGGACACATGTTGATGTAGAAGAGACATGAAGAAGAGGGGACACATGTTGACGTAGAAGAGACATGAAGAAGAGGGGACACATGTTGATGTAGAAGAGACATGAAGAAGAGGGGACACATGTTGATGTAGAAGAGACATGAAGAAGAGGGGACACATGTTGATGTAGAAGAGACATGAAGAAGAGGATTTTGCATAATAGGGCACCTTTAATATAAAAATGATAAACAATCATTTATTTTAATATTAGTAAACAGTAATCACAGTTTGACATGGCTTCGATGTTTCACAGTTTACACAACTCACTTCCTGAGATTTGGTTTTATATCACAGTAAATGCATTTTATCTTTGTAGTGCTTTTCAGAACCGATGTTATGAAGTGCTTCAGGATAAAAAGGGTAAACAACCCAACTTGTTACCTGAGATATCAACCCAACTTGGATATCAAATCTTGATTTAAAAAGATACACAAATATAAAAAAATGAAGTGTAAAAGGAAGAATATGGCATAATTGCTCACATGATTAAAAATGATCTATGAAAAAATAGCCGCCATGAGTAGAAACAGCACCACCATGTGGTCAAAACAGAGAACACAACAGTACTCGACCAAAAATACAAAATCTAATTTTGCTTTTTATAATTTTACTGTTGAGACACAAAGTTTAAAGAGGCCCTGTTCTTCTTCTGTGGTGTTCCCTTTCCTGTAGAGTGTTCTATAGGTTTCAGTGCATGTCTATGGTCTACAAACGCTAAAATCCCCCCCACCCCCGAAATCGCCTCCTTTGTTTAGTTCCTGAACACAGTGACATCACTCATTGTACGTTATAGGCTAAGGGGCGGGACATCTTTAAGTGATTGACCAATCACAACAAAGCTGGCCAGCAGGAGTTTTTACTAGATGCACCTGACATACAAAATATTTGGATATTAAAACGCTTTTTTATTTGGACGCTGTGTTGATTCCTATAACTTTCTCAGAATTTTTTTTCGCTCGTTTTTTTCGTCTCCTCTCGTACCTATATGACACAGAAACAGATTTTATTTTAATATGCATGTGGAGCATTACATTTTAATATTTGCAAATAAAATATGTATAGAAATGTTACAATAATTTGTATGTGTTACATGTTGTCAATTAATAAGAAATTATTACATGTCACTTGTTAGACGCTTTTATCCAAAGCGACTTACATACATTCAGTACTGTGGACAATCCCCACAGAAATCATGAATAAGTCCTAATTAAATTATACCATAAAAAGTGTTCATGTTTTTTTTTACATTTTTGTGCTTTTAATCTATATTTTGTGACTTTACAGACCTTTCAATGTTTCTTCAGTCGTACAAGAAGGGTCAGTCATGTAGACGTTGCCAAAACCAAAGTAAACACAGTATCCTGAAAGAAAAAAGGTTACAAATTATAAATATTTCTCTGAAATATCAAACACAAAATATATCATTAGTTTATCAGGACCCCGGTATAAAATAAGGAATTAAGGACGAATGAAAAATGTGTTGAATCTGAAAGTACATTATATTTTACAGCCGAGGAGCCACTTTTATTTTAACTCACAGTATGACAGGACTGCTGCTCTGGCTCTTCGTCTGGGGGAAAGAAAAAAAAATATTATTTTTTTTCTTTTCTGGGTGATCCATTTAGTTTTATGTTAATCAACGGTAACAGGGTCTTTCGAGGGCGAAAAAGGGATACAAAATGTAAATAGGCACATTTAAAAAAACACTTTGAAAACATTAAGATTTGGTGTATTGAGGGCATGGATTTATCTTGAATATCATTTTATTTTTAAACAAATACAATGTTGGAATAAAAAAATGTATATTTAACAAAATCCATTTCATTTTTTACTCACAGTTTGATCCTTGGCCTGTTTGTCTTTATCAACCGCTGAAAAAAAGAAATAATGGTGATGTATTATACGGTGGCCCTGAAGTGCAAGACACGTGACACGTGTTTGTTTGCGTGCATGCGTGTGTCCAAAATATCTAATTTTACATATTTTCTTTGACTATTGCTGTTACACAGAGGCATGAAGGCTTATTCGTGTACGAATAAAAGGCTTAAGCATTACAACAACAAAAAAGCTGGTGTCCATCCATCCATCCATCTTCTTCCGCTTATCCGTGGTCGGGTCGCGGGGGTAGCAGTTCCAGCAGAGAGCCCCAAACTTTCCTTTCCCTGGCGACATCAACCAGCTCTGACTGGGGGATCCCAAGGCGCTCCCAGGCCAGCGAAGAGATATAATCCCTCCACCTGGTCCTAGGTCTACCCCTTGGTCTCTTCCCAGCTGGACGTGCCTGGAACACCTCCCTAGGGAGGCGCCCAGGTGGCATCCTAACTAGGTGCCCGAACCACCTCAACTGGCTCCTTTCGACGCGAAGGAGGAGCGGCTCAACTCCGAGTCCCTCCCTGATGACCGAACTTCTCACCTTATCCCTAAGGGAGACACCAGCCACCCTGCGGAGAAAACCCATCTCGGCCGCTTGTATCCGCGATCTCGTTCTTTCGGTCATGACCCATCCTTCATGACCAAAGGTGAGGGTAGGAACGAAAATGGCCCGGTAGACAGAGAGCTTTGCCTTCTGGCTCAGCTCCCTTTTCGTCACAACGGTGCGGTAAAGCGACTGCAGTACCGCTCCCGCTGCTCCGATTCTCCGGCCCATCTCACGCTCCATTGTTCCCTCACTCGAGAACAAGACCCCGAGATACTTGAACTCCTTCACTTGGGGTAAGGACTCATTCCCTACTTGAAGTGGACAGTCCATCGGTTTCCTGCTGAGAACCATGGCCTCAGATTTGGAGGTGCTGATCCTCATCCCAGCCGCTTCACACTCGGTTGCGAACCGATCCAGTGAGTGCTGAAGGTCGCAGACCGATGAAGCCATTAGAACCACATCATCTGCAAAAAGCAGTGGTGCAATCCTTAGTCCACCGAACTGCAGACCCCCTCCCCCACGACTACGCCTCGAAATCCGATCCATGTATATTACAAACAGGATTGGTGACAAAGCGCAGCCCTGGCGGAGGCCAACCCTCACCGGAAATGGGTCCGACTTACTGCCGAGGACCCGGACACAGCTCTCGCTTTGGGAGTACAGAGATTGGATGGCCCTGAGTAGAGACCCCCTCACCCCATACTCCCGCAGCACCTCCCACAGTAACTCCCTGGGAACTCGGTCATACGCCTTCTCCAAGTCTACAAAACACATGTAGACCGGATAAGCGTATTCCCAGGCCCCCTCCAGGATCCTTGCGAGAGTAAAAAGCTGATCCGTCGTTCCACGACCAGGACGGAATCCGCATTGTTCCTCCTCAATCTGAGGTTCGACAATCGGCCTGACCCTCCTTTCGAGTACCTTAGAGTAAACTTTCCCGGGGAGGCTGAGTAGTGTGATGCCTCTGTAATTGGCACACACCCTCTGATCCCCCTTTTTAAAAAGGGGGACCACCACCCCGGTCTGCCACTCCTTCGGTACCGTTTCCGACTTCCACGCAACGTTGATGAGACGTGTCAACCATGACAGTCCCTCAACACCCAGAGCCTTCAGCATTTCCGGGCGGATCTCATCCACCCCCGGGGCTTTGCCACTGTGGAGTTGTTTGACGACCTCAGTGACCTCCCCCGGGAGATTGGTGTTGATCCCCCGTCATACTCCAGCTCTGCCTCTAACATAGAGGGCGGAGTTGTCGGGTTCAGGAGTTCCTCAAAGTGTTCCTTCCAACGCCCTAACACTCCATCAGTTGAGGTCAACAACGTCCCATCCTTACTGTACACAGCTTGGATGGTTCCCTGCTTCCCCCTCCTGAGGTGTCGGACAGTTTTCCAGAACAACTTTTGTGCCGCCCGAAAGTCCTTCTCCATGTCTTCTCCGAACTTCTCCCACACCCGCTGCTTTTGCCTCGGCCCACGGATGAGGCTGCTGCCCTTCGGGCCTGTCGGTACCTTGCAACTGCCTCGGGAGTCCCCCGGGATAACAAATCCCTGAAGGCCTCCTTCTTCAGTCGGACGGCTTCCCTGACCACCGGTGTCCACCAGGAGGTTCGAGGGTTACCGCCCCTTGAGGCACCTAGGACCTTGAGACCACAGCTCCCCGCCGCGGCTTCGGCAATAGAGGCTTTGAACACCGACCACTCTGGTTCAATGTCCCCAACCTCCACAGGAATGCCCCGAAAAGCTCCGCCGGAGGTGTGAGTTGAAGGCCTCCTGAACTTGGGCCTCCTCCAGACGTTCCCAGTTCACCCGAACTACACGTTTGGGCTTACCAGGTCTATCCAGAGGCTTCCCCCGCCACTCGACCCAACTCACCACCAGATGGTGATCAGTTGACAACTCCGCCCCTCTCTTTACCCGAGTGTCCAAAACATACGGCCTCAGGTCCGATGATACGATAACGAAATCGATCATGGACCTTCTGCCTAGGGTGCTCTGGTACCACGTACACTTATGAGCATCCTTATGTTCGAACATGGTGTTTGTTATGGCCAATCCATGACTAGCACAGAAGTCCAGTAACAAACCACCACTCCCGGTTCAGATCAGGGGGGCCGTTCCTCCCAATCACGCCCCCTCCAAGTGTCTCCATCATTGCCCACATGTGCGTTGAAGTCTCCCAGCAAGATTAAAGAGTCCCCTTCAGGAGCCCCATACAGGACTCTTTCCAGGGTCTCCAAGAAGGCCGTATACTCTGAACTGCTGTTGGGTGCATAAGCACACACAACAGTCAGAGTTTTCCCCCCCATAACCCGCAGGCGTAGGGAGGCGACCCTCTCGTCCACTGGGGTAAACTCCAACAACGAAGCACCTAACCGGGGACTTGTGAGTATCCCCACACCCGCCCGGCGCCTCACACCTTGAGCAACTCCGGAGAAGAATAGAGTCCAACCCCTATCCAGAAGTAAGGTTCCAGAGCCGACGCTGTGCGTAGAGGTGAGCCCAACCAGATCCAACTGGTAACGCTCCACCTCCCGCACAAGCTCCGGCTCCTTCCCCCCCAGAGAGGTGACGTTCCACGTCCCCAAAGCTGGTGGTGTCATAACTATTTGAAAAATGTTCACTGTTACTCTGAATATTATTATTATTATTATTATTATTATTACTGTATTTGTATCATTGTCATACAGAAGTATACCATTTATTATAGATGTAGGAAACTTAATTTATTTCAGTCACATGACTTCCTTTCGGCAACTGCTGATGGTTCAAGGTCAGCGAGTCATGTAACGTTCAAGAACATCACAACAAAATTGGATATTACACTATCTAATCAAACTAAGAAAATGTAAAGGAAACGTTTGAGGGTTAGTTAGTTTATTTGAACAGCACATTTTAGACAGAAAGGCAATTCAAAGTGCTTAAGGGCAATGATAATGCACAGTTACATCGAATGTGTGTGATTTATATAAAATGAATTACAAATAATAAGCATCAGTGTTCGTTATTCAAAACTGAGGGCATTACGAATAGAAAACAAACTAAAACAACAAGAGGTCACTTCGGAATCGAGGTGTTTGGAAATGTGTAAAATGTTTGGGCTTTTTTGTATAAGTTCATGTCATTGAGAAAAGCTGAGAAAGCAACATCTGTGTATGACATTTTTCTCAGTGCAAAAATCCCAGCCCCCCTGAACGCACCCGCAGCGAAACCGAAAGTTAAATGTTTTCTCGGCAGCTGCTCCATTAACTGGGTTTAAAAACAGCGGACGGAGGTGTTTTTTTTACTGGAATCTTTTCACCTTTCTTTGAGCAGAAAATACACATCCAACCCGCGAGACTTAGAGATGGGTCCGCGTGCTCTGCTGCTGGCTACTGTGGTGTTTTGTTCAGGTAAAGTTTCAAGTTATAGTCGCCATTTGACCACTTGTGTTTTGGAGGATGCTGAATCAATTTCTGACATTTTCAGGATAAAAAATGTCAGTTTTAACCAGATAGTAGCCATATTTGTAGTCCCGGTGAGCTAATTTGGACTACTATGAGCGGAGATTGGATATAGTAGTCACCACATACAGAGCATTTGGTACAACTAGTTCCTGAACAGTGTCCTTCATATGCTGATATACAAGAGAGGGAGTTACACAGTCACAAGATGGAGGAATAGAAAGCAGTATTCAATGTTTAGTTCAGATTAGCTCCACGTCAGAAATGAGCATGCTTGTCATATGTCTATCTCCATAGAGGCTGAATCATCATGTTAATCACATAGCTATCATATGCCTAAAACAGTTCTCATGCTCTTCTAGGTAATCACACATCCTGTCGTGTACACAGCTACAGTTGGGATACCTTTGTTATCATGTGTACTCTGGTGTTGGAAGAGTACGTTCAGTATTTTCCCACCATACATCTTTTAAGTATTAGTTTTGTGTTTTCCCAGCAGAGTCCTCGGTCCATGGCTCTCCAGAGAGGTTTGCGTCTCTGCCGGCGGCGTCGTGTATTCTTCCTTGCAGTTTCCCTCTCAACGATGTCTTCCGTACATTGGAGTGGTCCAAGACAGACCTGAAGAAAGTGATCGTCTTTCTGTTCCGAGACAACCGCGAGGATCTCGTAGAGCAGAGCCCGCTCTACGTTTCCCGGACGAACCTCTCTGTGGAAGATCTGAAGAGTGGAAAACGCCTCGCTGAGGATCTCCAACATTCAAGCTGCGGATGCAGGAACGTATCAATGCATGAGGATGTGGAAGAAAGGCCAAGAAAATATTACAGAAGTGGAGCTTTTTGTTGGTACGTTCAGTCTACCTATCAGGGTTCATTTGGCAGAGATGTCAAAAGTACACACATTTACTCAAGTAGAAGTACAGATACTCGTGTTTACAAATACTCTGGTGAAAGTAGAAGTACTCAATCAATCAATGTTTATTTATATAGCCCAATATCACAAATGTTACATTTGTCTCAGTGGACTTTACAGTTTGTACAAAATATCAGTATGACAATACGACACCCTCTGTCCTTAGACCCTCACATCGTACAAGGAAAAAACTTCCGGAGAAAAACCCACAGTTTAAAGGGAAAAATGGGAGAAACCTCAGGGAGAGCAACAGAGGAGGGATCCCTCTCCCAGGACGGACAGACGTGCAATAGATGCCGTGTGACTAAACTTCTTTACTCAAGTCAAAGTAAAGAGGCTTTGAAATGTACTTCAGTAAAAAGTACCCATAACTCCCAGCTGTTTTAAAGAGTACCTGACCTCCCTTTATATTAATAGAACAATAATTTCATTG